TTAGGCCAGGGCCAGGGAGCGCCGTTTGGGCGGGAAGGGCGTTGGGGCGTTGGCAATTGATCCATCCCGCTGCCACATCCTCCGCTGCCGCCGCCGGTCACCGCCGCCTCCCAACCTCTGGTATTGGAGTTGATGACATGGGGCGCACAACGTAGAAGCTGGTAGACTGCCAGAATGTCAGACTGCCAGACAGGTGAGACGTTCAGCAATCAGCAGGCCACTCCCAGAGCCGCATCGCGGCATCTCGGGTCGATCGCCAAGAGGGCTGGGCGCCAAGCACAAGAGGCGGCGCAACTCAGAGGACAGGTTGTCGCTAGGTGTGGTAGAGAGAGTGGCAGCCAAGCACAACTCAAGCAACTCAAGCAATATCCAAGACGGCAGTGGACGGGTGGCCAAGGTCGGGGAAGCGTGGGAAGCATCGCCAGAAGCCGCCCTGGGCTAAACGGCTAGAGCCAAAAAGAGGAATAGGGCAGCAAGACCAACGCGTTGGTGGCTGGACTGGCTGCAAGGTGAGGGAAGCTAACCAACCCGCGTCGCCACTCCTCTGACAAAAAGTCATCTCAAAGCAAAAGGGCCTGGGGCCCTGCTTTTAGTGGATCTGCCGATAGCAAAGGGTCCTTGGGGTCCGAGGATGATGCCTGTCTGGCGCGGCTGTCCCCCTTCGAGTCCAAGCCTTTCTCAGTTAATCAGCCGAGTTAAACCCCTGCAAGGGCACGCGAGAGGCAACGATGCCACAGGCATATGCCTTGAGCTGGAGAAGCCAGTTCCATGTCGGCTGGCCACTCAGAGACGCGACAATAGGACGCCAATCTGCACTGTTCGGGAAGGACGCCGGAAAAAACGGCAAATGAGGCCACCCATGTCATGTTGCGTCGGCAGAGAGCCAATCATGGCGTCAAGTTGGCATCAAGGTTGTCAGGTTAATGACACAAGCACGAGCAAGTTACACTAGACTGTTGGATACATTCTGGACACAAGTGGATGAACAAAAAGTTCCTGAAGCCCCTCCCCCCACCTTTGTTCCCTCTGGAAGCGTGACAAACGTCCCTCTGTGCTCCGTAGGCGCGCCCTTTGTGGTGGGCAGATGCCTGCCGCTTGGGATCCGAGTTGCTGGAGAGGGTTGGTTCGTCCGAATGCGCTTGCAGACTTTCCTGATGGGTGACCTCCGCCCCACGCGATAGTCCGACGCAAAAGGACCTTTGCAATGCGGTGATGATCAGATTTGATTATATCGGTATTCCTGCGTTGGTGATGAGACGGGATATGTCATTCATTCAGCACATCCCTCGAGAAAGGAGCGAATCGGCGCGAATGACTCGGCAGCAACCTCGGCATCCTTTCTCATCCAGCTGTCTCACCGTCTTTCGCGGTAGCACAACAGACAAACTTGATCAGCAAATAGGCGCCGAGGAACAAACAAGAGGCAAGCAACCTGTGTTACCCCGACAAATCACCATCGCATCGATTACTCATGCCCTTTTCACCGTTCTACACGCGACAGAATCTCCGGCGCTTTGGTAGCAGTTTAAGGCCATCGAGAACGACTGGATTTAAAGATTCTCGTACGTAAAGCTCCTGTCATTTCCCCAGGTCCCCGCCAGCTGGAAAAAACCGCCGTGCCGCGATGGCACGGTGCCACGAATGCCCCCCACCACCCTGGCCGGCAACCAAACCATTAGATTGGGATAATTTGTGCTTATTCAAGCGTTGACAAGTGTCGCCTGAAGATGCCTTCCTCACACGGCAACACTATCTCACACAACTGATAATGATTTACACGGCGGCAAACAGACATGGGCTCCCTGGCACGTGCCTGGGCAATCTCCATGTATACAACTTATATCCGTACACAATGCCACCATCTCGTGTGGTTCCCGGGGCATAGTGTAGGCACGCGAGATGGCGAAAGATGTTGTGAAGTTCCATCCGCGATACCCGGCCGCCGAACGCTTATGCCAAAATATATTCTGCGGGGTGGGCAGCAGGCATTCTGATCCAGACTGTTGCAGCGTCTCCTCGGTATCTCGGGTAGGTGAGTGACATGCCCGGAAAGCATGCGGCCTACCTAGCCTTGTGGACCGTCCTGCAGAAGGCTTGTCGACGAAGCATGGCATGTCCTGATGATTGCAAGAACACCCGGGTCTTTGCCATTGGCCATCTGGAAAACAGGAGCAGGCGATCCCAGAGATAGGCAATCCCAAACTGGCAATGTCTCCAAACCCCACGCAGCTTCCCGCCAGGCCGGTACGCTGGGTCTCTCACCCTCTGGGTCTGCTGATGGAGCCGAATGCACACTGACTTTGCGGGCAACACCTGGTCTCGGTGGCATGTCGTATCAGTCGGATCAAAAGGTGCGGCCAAACGTCCAATGGCATGTGGCGGGGCGTCGAGGTGTGTTGGAAGTTGGGATAAGAGACGGTAGTGGCGTTCGTCCGGATAAACCTGCTCAGGCGAATGACAGCTCGGTCCTTATCATCTTCGAGCTAGTCTATGACATGGTAGGTCCTCTTTCGGTGCCGCCACCCGGCCGAAGCAAGCTATTGACGGCTCAGTCGACCTCGGGTTGGTTGCTGCAGGATCGAGGCACACTTTAACGGTCCGGGTTATACCCGTTCAGCTCGGTCTTGTCCGACCGAGTATGCGAGCCTTGACATCGATTTGGTCGAGGATCAAAGGCTAGTATTATTAGTATGTATGTGCCTGCGCCAACAGCAAGCCACATTCAAGAATCCTACGCGCAACGTTGCGCATGCCGATCCTGGCCCTTTGTGATGATGTCCTGGCTTGAAGGTCTGCTTCCCAATTATGCAGTTATTGCTTTTGCCTCTGAGATATTAAGACCCGATCCCCCTCTTGTCCAACTATTAAGACCAAAGATCATCAGATCGTCGCTAGAGATCAGTTCAAATCGACGCTCACCATCGCGTTGGAGGATAATCTTTAAGCGTATGTCTTCTATCTAGAAACAGATGCCGCGGTATCTTGACTGATGCTTTACCAAGAACGTCTAGTGGTCTTCAAATGGCTCCTGTTCCATGCAAACTTCATCTTCATGACAAATCCAACGTCCACGTTGCTCTCGAACCCAGCTCACGTGAGATTCCAGCTGCGAGTATCTTTTACCAACTTTGCACACCAAAATTCTTTGTAGTCGTCAATTAGAATGCTTATAACATCGGGATGTTCACCCGTACTTTAATTCTACACTCTGAATGTTGATCAGCTGCTGAGATTCTTCGTAAGCATTAGCAGCACTGATGTTGTTTCCTACAATGACTTTAGGCAACGCACTATGGGGCCGTGATCACTTTTTCGAGGACGAACATGAGATATTGCCTCGATCAAGTGGCTGTTATTGGTTAGATTTCCAGCTCCATGTGAATTTGAAACAGGACCAATTTTGTGTAGAAACGATGAGTAGATGTCGAACGGAGGGATCGAGCCATGGCTTTTGCGGCAGTGGTGTTCTCGATCCTAAACGAAGGCCTAAACTCGAGGTTAGTGCCCGAACACAAATCAATCACACACAAAAATCGCCTTGCGAAGAAAAGGGTATTGAAAAGGGAAGATATCAGTCCGTGGAGTATTCCTGTACCAGAAAGGTCCGGTTGATGGGCGGTGAAGGTTTATGAACAGAAATCTCCTGAGCCGGTGATATTGCGTTTCCAGATAGCAAGGTGGAAAAGACGCATGGCTTGCTGAAACAATTACATCTGTCGTCTCCCGAAGCTAGATAAGGGTTAGTGCGAAGCGTTTGAACGAGCCTGAGAAAGAAGGGGGGGGAAGCAATCATGATTCGTCTTTTAGGAAGCATCTTCATATTCGGAATATCCAGGCTATTAGTGAAAGGTGCCGCACATATGGGCGGGATGTAGCAGCCAGCAGACTATAGCTCAGCCTTTCAATGTGTGAACTTCAGGAGGCTAATCATGATCCAACGGCTTCCAGCATGTTTTGGCTCCACCTTAGAAGTTAGCACTGATTGCCATACGGGTAAAGGCTGTATGGTCACGTGGGCAAAAGCCGCTAGCACTACTAAGTAGCTACCTTGAGAGCTCCAGACCCTTTTAGAGTTCAAAAACTTCTCTACAGACTTGAATTACATACCAATTTACATTTTGCTCAAAAGCCGTTACGCCTTGGCTCTCAATGTACCGGGATTTGGGATTTGATCAACCTTGTGGCCATCTAGGTACACTACCAAGCTCCAAAACAAGTCTCCGAACGCCATCTTCAGAAGCCTGATAGATCATGGACCTTGGTAGGACGCTCAAAAAGAGGGAATAAGCAATATACAGTGCCAAAGGGTTCCTGGTAACAGAGCCGTTGAGTTTAGAGGAGGATGTTGTTTTATCCCACCAAAGTCTCATATTGTAGAGAATATTGAAAAAGAGCATTCTCCGCTGATTAAATTGAGCTGTGTTCATTCATTGGACCACATCAAATCGGGTTAGAGAGAACGATTACCATAACCAAGAAATGTAGAAAAGCAGTATCAGGGAGGAAAGGTGAGCCTCCATCCCACTAGAAAATGTCTAGTAGATCTTTCTGAGACCGAGCCACACGCAATGGAAGCGGCACCGGGGACATGAAGAAGCTCAAACATGTTCTACAGCAGAATCCGAACATGGATTCAGGAGAAAGCTCTCAGAAATCTGTAACTTTATTCTCACCGGGGCCTGGATTTGCCCCGGTTGGGTTTCCTTCCCGTTCTTTCTCCTACGGTTAGGAGAGACAAGGTTCGCAACAGACTTGGATCGTGGCCACCTTGTGAATGCCATGAGCGACAGCCCTAGCTATACAGGTTACGGAGAAAACGCTCTCTTGATGTATAAGTAAGAACGATGTTTCACTCTAGTAAGTCATCTTCAGCAGCAAACCACTCATCACATCCACACAACAAGATCCATCAAGCATTCTACTCTTCAACTCCTCCTCCATTCCTCACCACCAAAGAACAAACCCTTTCTACCTATCTACCAAGCAAACCAGTCATCACAATGGGTTGCGGATGCTCACGAGACCTCACCCCTTCTGAGCGTGCGATTGAGGAGCGAGACGTCGCCACCCTCGAAATGTCGCAGAAACTCGAGTGGTATGCCCTCTTGGAACGAGGAGTATCAGAGAAGAGAAAGAAGCAAAAGATGAGGGAGTATCGCAAGGACTGGAAAGACTTCAACGGTCGCAGACCGCGTGGTTTCTGGGGCGACTCTCCCAACTATCGCGGGTGTTAAGTCAACTTCTAATCACTTGAGAGCACATTGCTCATCAATACATCATTCTCAAAGTCATGACAGCAACCTCCACAATCTCCGGTATTCAGAGCACATCACTACGCCGACTATCCGGGTTTGCTGTGCTGTACACGACCGTGGCAACGCTAAACTCTGAGGCTCACGTTCGCCACCCAAATCGGACAGAGGAAAGCTTCACAACTCAGGAAGGGCTTTATGGCGTAATGGCGTAAAGGTGTTTTCGTGCGGCGTAAACGTGGTGTAATGGATTGTCGGGAAATGCTTGGGTAGATTCTGCTGGGTTAGAAGAGGCCTCTCAAAAGCATCGAGGCATCCGGACTGCACAGACAGTCTAATGCCACACTATAATAAATAATACTTCCCCTCCAATGCCTCTTCCGATTCGTGATGAAAGTATAAAGATGACGCGAGTTCGTGACAAGTTTCCATCAGTATCTGCTCTGCTTGACAAAAATCGAGAATGCTGTCGGCGAATACCCCCATAGTATCAGCCGGTTCAGAATCTTACAGAAAAGTCTCGAAAGGTGGTACACAGCATCGGGGCGTCCGGTACCCAAGCGGCAAGTAAACTGTGGCATAAATTTGTGGTGCGATGTTGCGAATCGTGTGTTTTCGATCAACGAGGTTGAAAGCTCCCGTCATCTGTGGGATCGACGATTACAAGACGTACTTGATCAGATGTGCAGTGATTAACTTGAATTTATGCAAGGTTTCTTCCGTAAATCCCTTGCTGAAATAATTGAACTCGGAATCAAGATGAGAGAGAGAGGCACGTTCAATCCAAAGCTGCATATACCTGTTGTAGGATGCTTGGCTGCTCCGTAGTCGTGGTTGCTTTTGCATCCAAATTGGTAGAATGTATTTCTTTTACTCGGTTGGTTGGTGCACTCGATGGAGATGACAATTCTTCTAGAATCGAGACCTTCTTAAGCTCGAGCGGAAACGGGCTGTTGATCCTTACGATTACGGATCACATCATGCTTCAGAAGGCACGGCACGTGGTATATTGATGCTTCCTAGAATATAATGAAGAAAATCCGCCTAGCTTTCTAGATTACGCGGTAGTCAACTTGATGTTGTACTCAAGCTCCTTGGCAGCCTTGGGGTCCCCTTTTCTGTCGATGAACTTCACAGTAAGACCGTCCTTCACCGCAAACACAGAGTCATCATCCAAGTACTTTGAATCTTCGTCAAAGATTTGTGTTGTGACTGAATTGAATCCTTCTGATTTGACCTGGGTAAAGAAAAAGTCAGAACCTGCGCCGGCGCATGCCAAGTGGAACTCAGTGATGATGCTTACGATGAGATGAATGTGGGCAGGTCTGAAATGGTGGCGGTGCATCAAGTCCAAAAGCTTTCCAGCTGGGCCATCGCCCGGTACCTCAAATTGTTGTCAGTAAAAAGACGATTTTTTTTTCTCGATGCGAGAAGTATACATACTGGGTAAGGCGTGGGCCGCAGACAGTAAAATCCATAACGACCCTCCGCGTCCGTCTTGAAGACTCCGCGCAAGTTGTGCTCCGGCTGATCGATATCTTGCTGCTCGTACAGACCTGCAGTGTGACATTAGACGACATGCGTCAACAAAAGCTTGGTCTGATCTTCAAACTTGCCATTGGTGGATGCTTGCCAAACGTCGACGGACGCATTCGCCAGCGGCTTCCCGGTGTTGGAACACGTCACCTGACCGTACATGAAAGCGACCTCTCCGTCCTCGGGGTACTTGACAGCGATCGTGCTGCCGTTGGGACGGACGGGAGTGTCGGCCCGCCAGAAGGGGCCCAAGATGGCTGTTGCTGTGCCTGGCGTGCCGCTCTTTGTGGCAACTTTGTTGGTGATGTCGTCAACCAGCCTGCAAGTCTGATTAGTACATGTATTTGTGTCAAGCCGCCCTTTTCTTGTGAACTCACGACTCCAGTCCAATGACGTCGCAAAGCAGCTGGCCTTCGTTGCGTCGGTCATTCGACATTTGCCCCGCCCAATTGATCATGTTGACACCCATCATCCACTCATCCGTGGTGAGATCGACCTCGCGAGCAAAGTCGTGGATGTGCTGGATGAATGAGGCCAGAATCTCGCGGAGTCTGGGGTTCGTCTCCGACCCCATGGAGGCGATGACCTCCTTAGTGAAGTCCTGGCCGAGGCCCTGGTACTGGCCGTCTCCGTTCTGTAGTGAGCCCATGTTGATGAAGTGTGAGTTTTGTCTAGCGGTGTTTTCCTTAGTATAAGAAAAGGATCAAATAATGATGATGGCTTTCTAGGTGATACGATACGATGTGATCCTGAAAGATGAGCTAACGTCAACTACCCCGACTGCCAAAAAGCGTCCCGCAGTGGATGGAGGATAAGGTACTTATCCCAATCACAGCGCGTGCATTACCCGCCATTGCTTTGTCATTGCACGTGCGCTGAGCGGGTACCGCCGGCGGTAGGCTTCAAGCACCCGGAAGCGCCCCCCGGGTCCGGGGACAAACACTCCTCCCTTTCGGGTACGGGAATGGGATCCGACGCGAGGGGAAATCTACCGAGACTCCAGCCACATACATACATATACACAAAGACAAAAGACAATTTCATAAAGGATTTGATACGGTCGGTTCACCCCAACTACGCTGGGGACCCCGCAGTCCGATGGTTCCTTTTGGCGGAGTCACGCGCGGGGGAAGGATGGCGGCTTCGGCTTTGCGTTGTGTGATGTGACTTTGCGGTGCTCCTAATTCCGCGCGGATTTAGCCAAATCATACGATAGTCATCATGTTTGCCATTCGAGGCATCTAAATGGGGAAGTGAGTAGAATACATTAATCAGCCTCCCTGTAGGTGTGTTGAGCATGTGAGGACTACGGAGCATCGCCAGCTCCAGGCGCCAAGTCTACGGCCCGGCTCCCTGTGGTCAATTCTATGATCGGAGCGCAATGTTCACCGCATGAGAACTTCATCCAATATTTTCAATCACTGGATATCATCATTCAAAGGTCTAGATGGAGTTCTATCCTGCCTTGACATCAATTCACGCCGTGGGAAACTCCGTTTGTGTGCGCAACTATCCGGTGATCCTCTTCCGGTCCAAAGTCCCAGCTCGCCTCGTCCGAGCCGTTCGGTCTGCTAGCCCTCTTGAACCCAATCTCCACGCCCTCGATCTCGACCACCGGGCTCACAGCCTCCACATCTGCCTTGTAACGCCTTGCGTACCACTTCTCGCGGATGTTCGACGAGCTGAACAGCTCTGGCGCGTACCGCTTCATCGCCTTGAGCGCCGTGCCGGAAATCTGATCGACGCTGTGGCTGTGCCGCAGTGCGAGGAAATCTTCGCCCGCGAGCTTGCGCAGTTCGCGCTGGACTTCGTCTGGGTATTTTCCGGCCTTGATCAGGAGGAGGTCATACTGCAATAGCGATGCTTTGCCGTGCCACGAGCCGCCCTGCGTCGCTCTGTTGTAGAGACCGGTCAGGGCGGCGATGGCGCCCATGCATCCCGTTCCATAGTCGGAGATGGGGAACGGAGGGACCACAGGCTCGTCGAGTCCCATGAATTGACCTTGCGCCCAAGCCACACCACTCACCTGTTTCCTAAATGAGCATTTTGTGATTTTCCCAAGGAGAAGGGGTGGTGATGACTTACACAATCAGCAATCTGCTGCCAGCCAGGCCGCTGGCACCATTCCCCCTGGTATCCAAAGCAGTTCTCATTCACATACACGAACCCCTTGCCGCGCTCCTTGGCCAACTTGGTCAAAGCAGTCGCGCCGTAACCTAGCTTTTCCAATGCACCCGGGCGGTAGCCGTCCAGCACGACGTCCGCCTCGGCCAGCAAAGTCTCAAAGTGCCGTCTCCCCTCTTCGGTCTTCAGGTCGAGGTCCGCGGCGTGCTTGCCCATGTTGCCGTCGACCTGGAAAAAGGGAACGTCGCTGAGGTTCGGGCTGGTGATTTTCAAAACGTCCGCGCCGTACTCTGCCAGGATGCGTCCTACGACTGGGCCTGCAATGATGCGGCACAGCTCGAGCACCTTGACGCCCGATAGTACCCGCTTGTCGGAGGTGGACGGCAGAGGAGCTGGGGGCGTTGCGGTCTCGAGACTGTCTACGCTCCAGGGAGGAAGGGAGACATTCGTCTTGCCCTGCAAGGAGATTAGTATTGGCACAGCGCCAAGTCGAGGAATACATCGAGACGTACGTGAGGTGTTTTGAGAAAATCCTCATGCTTCAGAACGGGGACACCAGCTTGGCGCTTATCGGCATTCATACGCTCAAGCTCATCGACCGTAAATTGCTTTACATGAGATTCTATCGCCTCAACAATTGCAGTGTGATCTTTCAAGTCTGGCCTGAACGGCTCGAGTCCAATCATGCCAAGCGTAGTCGACGCTTCTAGAGACCCATGAATGTGGTAGTACTCGCCCGGCTGCTTGGTCTCATACAAATTCGCAGACATTCGGCGATAAGGATCTGACTGAGCCTGGAGCAAATCCGTATCTAAGTACACAAGTCAGAGAATTCCGTACTTTAATTTTGCATACAATGATGCCTCACCCTTTAAAAACCGCTTCACTTCACGATCGAGCTTGCCGTACCCTCCCACAGTTGCCAGATAGGCCTGAATTAGAAACGCTGTGCTCTTCTCCAAGTTCACCGAAACCTTCTTGTCCTTCCCGCCGGAAGCGTCACCATCCTTGGTGGCTGCAAGGGCCCCTGCTACACCACCTTCAATGGCCTTCAAAGCTGAGGCCAACTCCGTTTCCTTGAAGGGGATCGGGAAATAAGGCAAGTCGCGGGACGCTGAAAAGTGTACGGCCTTTGAGATCGTTTCCGCTTCTGCTGGTATCTGAACGGCACTGAGGACCAGATCTAGTATTCGTTTCGTCTCGGCGACGGATGAGTATCCTTGGTCTGTCATGATCGCTCGCTGCTGTTGCGGGAAGTTCAAAAGATTGTTGTCGGCTCGCGCGCACAAACCCTTTGTTGAGTTGAGAGCATTACAGAGTAGTTAACCCGTCGCACTGCTGTTGGGGAATTGCGTGCGCCTTCTAACTTGGGAATATCGCAACACCGAGAGAATGGAAGAATTATTTCTTCCGCCTTTCAGCTTTGCGATTGCGCATCGTGCCCGTATCCGCCTTGGATTTGCCGTAGCTTCTCTCTTCTACCCGACCCGATTCGCGAGGTCGGAAGCAGCTGCGTCACAGCGATGGACAACGAAACGTCGGACCCGCATCGGCAATCGGGTGGAAGTGTACGTGTCTGGTATGTTTGTCCGGTTAGAGCAACCTTGGAACCACATTTGCCCACCCGGCTTCCGAAAGACCTCGGCAAGGGGGTTTTCTACTGCGGGCCTAGGCTTAATGGGGGGCTGGGTGGCGCCTCCTGGGGCCAGGCTTAGGCTTCGACAATGGAATGGAACCCGTTGTCTCTCAGGTCTTGGGGCGATCGTCGGATAAGGGCCTTGTTAGGTTTGATGTCATGTCGGGTAGGGGACTAACTTTCGGTATCTTATTGGTTGAAGATAGGTGTGTTTGACATTGCAGTTTGAATGAAATGGTGTCCTCGGAAGGTGACACTCATGCTAGTTGTCGGTAGCTTTCTGTCAGTTGTACCCAAGCAAGTTCGCTGTCGTATTTTCTATCCTGGTCCCCCCCCTACTACTACCAGTTGTTTGAAGCTAAAGAGCTGATGTGGATTACGTAATAGTAGAGAGTAGTAGCGATGATCAAGACAAAATTGGACAATAGTTGCTCTGTCTTTGAGTCCTTTGTGTGAAGGCTGGAGTTGAATAATGGCTCAAAGTGCCGTTTGACCTGTAAGCGGTGGATATGTTGCTTGGTACGGAGCGGATGCGGGACACTGCTGTGTGCTGAGCCAAGCGGTCGACGATCCAACCCAACAACCCGTTTCTTTAAGCAGCAGTACAGCCAATGGTAGTTACTGCAGAAGTTCAGCCTCCATCATCATTGGCTACACTACCTTGGATAGACGTCTCTCGAGTTCTGACTTGTCCCCATTTTCTCTGAGCCTCGAAACCTCGGCATCCTCTGCGGCGTAAAAGGGGGCAGCACCAGGTAGCAAAATCTGGGGAAAGATTCGTGAGCTAGGACCCCCCCAGGACAAGTGTTCCCCCGCAAAAAAAGCGAAAGCGCGCAAGTAAAACACAGCTCTCAGCTTTGCCCCGGTCCATCCGTTGCCTCAGCTGGCCCCCAAGCCTCGAGTTCAATGTCGCTATCTTGTTACGCATTCGTTCTGGTTGAATTTGAGAGCTGTGAGGTCGCCTTTCATACTGTACATGTCAATAGGCGACGTTGAGGCGCGCAAACCATGCCCACGAAAAGAGTCCGTGAGAGCGAGCGGCGTAGATGCGTCAAGGCCTGCGGGAATTGCAAGCGGCGCAAGGAACGCTGCGATGGACAACAACCCTGTCGGAGGTGCGTAATCCGCAGAGTCGAAGTCGACTGCACCTTCATCGGCCCGCGGACGAACTTTGCCGCTGCGGAGGGCTCGTCGTCATCCGTGAGAAGTCCTGGTGGCCATCAGGTTTCCGTTCCTCCTCATCACCAAAGAAGCCCGTCCGGCGGTCAGGACCACCTCTTCAGCTCATATGAACCGCCCGCCTCCTTTCACGGAGCCGTCATTTCACCAAATTACCAGCAGCAGCCGCATAGGCGCGCGTCGTCGTCCATCAGCCACCTCTCGCAGAGCACTGCGGTACCACAGATATCGCGACTCATCGCAGATGGCAAGGGCCGGTTCATGTTCATTGGCGATGCAGCCAATTTGGCATTCCTGAAAGTGATCCGTCGACTTGTACGCGAACGCATCGGCTTGTGTCCCTTCACCGATGATCCTTTGCGCCACGTCATGGTCGAGGCGACTCCTGAAGGTCGCCCGAAATGGATCATCACGAACCCCGCCGATATCCCCTCAAAACCTAGCAATGAACAAGCAAGATATCTTTTACGGTGGTATCTACGCGCGACGAATTGCATTCTCGAAGTTTTTAATGAGTCTGAAATCTCAAAGGACCTTGAACATTGGCTGCGTGGAGAGCCGACAAGCCAAGATGAGGAAGTCATGAATTGCATCTTCTTTCTGATATTCGGCATCGGAGCACAACGGTGCCCAGATGATCGGGACGCTGATGCTGAGAAGTATTTCGACTATGGTCGATTTTTGGCAGTATCCTATGCAATGGAGAATCCAACAAACAACACGGTGCGCAGCTACCTACTCATCACCGTCTACCTTCTCGGCGCATCGAGACGCAACTCAGCCTTCATGCACCTGGGCGTTGCTGTCCGTGCCGCCTACGCACTAGGGATTCACAGGCGAGACGTGCCAGCACTATTTTCGACGCAAGAGCAAGACACCCGGGATCGACTGTGGAAAGCTCTTCGGGTTCTGGATCTGTTCTTAGCCGCCTCGCTAGGTCGCCCGTTGGCAACATCTGAGACCCGGGATACAGCGGCGAGCGAGAACTACTCGGCTTCACTGGATCTTTGTGCCATCTTTGAGTCCATCTTGAACGATGTCTACGCCAAGCGTATGGTCTCGACAGAAAAGCTCGAGCGCATCAGCGAGCAGCATCGTCGATGGGCCGCGAGGTTCAGTGATGGTCTCGCAGCTGACAGTATGAAGCCCAGCAAGTATGTCGACGCCGACGATGGTGAGAGGTATCCAAACATTGGGCTTTACCACATGAAAGAGGCATACTACTGGAGTATCATGCTTCTATCACGGCCTTTTCTCATCGACTTTGTCTCCAGAAACATTGCCCGCTCCCGGACGGTGCCAATGTGGACAGAGGAAACTCCAACAACATCGCCATCTGATCAACTATTGGTGCACGCTTGCGTAGACTCTGCGATACGAACCATTGACCTCCTATCGACACTGATAGAGGATAAGAACGTTGCGAAACGACACCCCTTTGTTATCAACTCCGTCTTTGTCTCCGCACTAGTCCTTGGCCTAGCTGTCTTTGGGGATCTGGACAGCACGTTCCCGTTAGACCACGGCTTAAAAGATGCGCAAGCGCTTTTGAAAAAATTTAGCAAACACGATCCCGTCGCGAGCAGAGAGCTGTCCATTGTCGAGCATCTCCAGAGCGCTTGTGTCCTGTACCGAGAGCGGAGAGCCCGTCGGAAAATGGAGTGTCAGGGGGTGCTCATCGGCGAGCTCTTTGGGAGCGTCCACGAGGGCGGTCCGCTGTCAGCGGAGGCGTCGAAGCTTGGCTCGAGTGCTGTTCACCGTGATATTCGGTACTTTGGTAACCATCGGCATTTGAGCACGTCGGAAGCCGGGGAGATTAATAGCCTGGATCAAAGTTTATCACTTACCACGGGGAGCCATGATGGGCCGCAGGTTATGGGCAGCGAGACTGGCCGGGGCTCGAATGTGATCCAGGAACTCACGCCGTCGACTGATATCCTGCTTCCGATGTCGCCAAGAACGCTGCTGTTTGATTCTTATGGGCAAGATATGCCTTTCTTTCCGACCATGGATGCCAGCATGGCCCACTTGGGATACACGGATGAGATGATGCTGGCTGGTGCTGGGTCTCTGATGGAGCCCCCATGTTAGCCATCGAGGGATGGCATGTCTTTGAGAGTAGACTATGTATGACTCGTTAGCGACTGGATGACCAAGCATGCCAAACGGTGAACTACAAAAACTTATGCATGGACCATGTTCATAACTGATGGGGAATGCCTACCACCTTAATTCAAACCCCCATATAAGTCCTGGTCAGTCCTCTCAAAAGCGATCTGTGATGTATTGAGATGCGAAGTTGAGTCAGAAATGATATGTGGCTCTATCACTACCTTACCACTCACTCACCGGTAAGCCATTGACTCGGTTTATGTACCTTGAGAGGAACATCAAAGGTCATGTTCGATCAACCAGGTAACGTCAAGAGCAATTATGAATGAGAATTTATATAGCCCTGCATGTGCATACATGTACCATCGTAAAACGTCAATGAGAAAGGTACACTCAATTAAGTTGATTAGATCTTGGTCTGAAGCATTCAAATAAGTGAGCCAAGCTTCCGTTCCTGCGATCTGCTCCAGCTCAAATTTGGAACACCAAGTACATATTGCTTTCGAGGCGTATGTACAGAAAAGAAAATGCAAAGATTATCGACTCGTACCACGTTCAAAAGCTCTCGCCTGCCGACCTCCTCAAAGCAGCAATGACCAAATCCGGCTTGCTCAAAAACGGAGAGTGACTGGTTTCCATATCCTCAACAACAACGTCCACGCCGGAGACGTCAATCATCTGTTGTTGACCTTCTGGAGGAACCGCCTTGTCCAACGCGCACTTGATGTACGTCACCGGTATGTCTTTGTAAGCAGGGTATGTGAGCTTGCTGTAGAAGGTCTGATAGCTGTGATGCTTGAGTCCTGCAATCGTTTCCTTGATGGCGACTTCTTCCATGTCGTTATAGAAGATGTCCTCGGGGCAATCGGGGTCGACTTTTGTCTTGTCCTCTGACACGATAAACCAAGGAAGCGGGATGCCTTGAAGCATGTCTAAAAGGGAGACTCCTGCAGGCATTTGTTAGTTACGCAACTTCGTCAACCTCTTTTTCAACCATGACTTGCCTTCCGGAACCATGAATGCAGCGCAGAATACCAGTCTTATAACGCCTCCAGTCTTGCCTTTCTTCTGCCGAGATGCCTTATCCAGACCGCGGCAGGCTTCGCAACCTACAATGCCCCCATAGCTGTGCATGAAGAGCACAACGTCTTCGCCATCGTCTACAGTCTTTTCAATCTCTTGCCGGATGGCAGCAACGTCGGGCTGGAAGTCTGATAACGGAGGCTCCGCGCCAAAGCACGGGAGCTGAACAGACTTGGTTGGATATCCCAGAGCCTCTAGCTGAGAGGTCACTGGCTCAAACTTGGTCGTACAGTGCCACGCGCCTGGGACAAAAATGAAGGTTGGCTTGGTAGTAGTCATGGTGTTTCTTCGTCCGATGTCCCTGACGTCGATATGTGGGTGTAAACTGTCTTTGTCACTTGCCAGAAGCAGTGGACCCTTGGGACCATTTTTGAACTCTTTCCCCACGGGGGAGGATCTCAACTCCTTGAGTTGAGACGCAGAGACCGGAACAAATTACCCCAGACAACGGTATGATGACTTCGGACCGGAGTCCGGGGTAGAGGTAACATGACCTTGGTCTTTAGCACTATTTTGGACACTAGAATGAGATGGCAGCTGTGGCGCCTGGGGTAGACAGTTAGTCCTTAATGGCCACGGGAATCCAGCCCGAATGAGGGATCTAGACTGGATAACAACGAGTTTAAAGTTTCGGAGATTCACATTATTGAAGAATAGTCCGGTATGCGATCTACATAGTCCCCGGATTTCTCCCCTCACTGCCGGGATGATACTCCGCAATTTATGCACGCTTGCTCCGTCACCCGAAGCTGGCTTTCGGCAGATGGTGAAGTGTTCGAGGTCCCATTCCCGACGTCTAAAACCCGCGATCCGATAGGTTCGACCGTACTACGAACAACTTTCAGCTGCTAGAAACTTTGAACCAAAAAACCTTCCCATCCGATGATCACCCATGCAGTGCTTCCGTGGACTTTCGGGCACTTCGGCACTGGATTAACGTGGGTCGCGGCCGGGGTCCGGGGGGGACGGAGTCAGCCAGAATCATCGAGAGCGTCATAGGTCCCAGCCCAGGAGCCGGTCTGGAAGTAAGAGGGCAGCAAGGCTAGGTCGTTTTTTTCTTCCTCAATCCTCTCTCTACATTGTCCGCGGTATATCTTTGCGAACTTCTTCATCGTTGTACTCTGTGTCCAAGGTTCCAAGACTGAAGGTAGTCTCACTTGTCTCGTTTGACGTGGTCTGAGCTGCCTACCTCCGAATACACATTTAAGCTTTTCCCATCATTTTCACGAGCTTTTTTCTGCCTCTGTCACGATGGCACCGCCGGAAGAGTTCTGCCAGACGCCAGACAAGCCCTTCAATGTGGCTGTAGTCGGTGGCGGCATAGCGGGTCTGACTCTGACCCTTCAACTCCTCCGGAACAGGATACCGACTACGCTATATGAACAGGCGCCCAAGTTTGGTGAGGTTGGAGCTGGCGTGTCTTTCGGTCCCAACGCGCTGAGGGCTATGTCCTTGATCTCACCTCATGTGCGGCAGGCCTTTGAGAACCAAGCAACATGCAACGAATCAGAAGACTACAAGGACGTATGGTTCGATTTCAGATACGGCGAGACTTGTGACGATAAACACAAGGAGGGCGATCTCATTTACCGTCAAAATTGTGAGACGGGTCAGACTGGTATCCTTAGAGCACACTTCTTGGACGGACTGGTCAAGCTACTGCCCGATGGGGTTGTGGAATTTGACAAGAGGGCGGAGAAGTACGAAGACGACGGTAAAAGCGTGCTGCTTTACTTCCAAGACGGCTCAACCGCGCGCTATGATGCAGTCATAGCCTGCGACGGGATCAAGTCTAGATTGCGAAGCTTGATGCTTGGTGAAGATCACCCAGCATCCAAGGCTATTTTCTCTGGGAAGTACGCCTACCGAGGCCTTATTCCCATGGAGGACGCAGAGAAGCTTCTCGGCAAAGAGCTAGCAAAGAACGCTCAAATGTACTTTGGAAGACACGGTCACATTCTTACATTTTCCGTCGCAAAGGGGAAATTCATGAACGGTAGGCGACTTGTTCCCACCCTTCTATCCCCAGGCTAGGAACAAAGGCTAATCAGAGACTAGTGGTGGCTATTACCAGCGCTGATGAGTGGAAGTCGGACAAGTGGGTCGTCTCCGTGAAGAAGGAGGACATGATCCGCGACTTTGAAACCTGGGGCGAGAAGTCTAGGCAAATCATCCAGCTCATGCAGAACCCCGACGTGTGGGCACTCTTCGAGCATCCGCCGAGTCCAACATACTACGAGGGGCGACTTTGCCTGCTGGGAGACGCTGCGCACGCATCCACGCCTCACAAGGGTTCTGGCGCGGGCATGGCGATAGAAGATGCATACATCCTCGGCAACCTCTTGGGCTCCATCTCTGACGCTAGCCAAATTGAGATGGCTTTCTCGACATACAACAAGATGCGATGGGAGAGGTCTCAGAAGCTCGTCACCGATAGTCGCGAGACAGGTCAGCTATACGACTTGGAGTTGAGCGAAGACTCTGAGTGGGTTGCCGACAAATTGTCGGCTCGGATGGATTGGGTTTGGAAGTATGACTTGACTGACGAGCTGGAGAGAGGCAAGGGGGAGTTGGTGAAGGATCAGGCATCTGTTGAAACCAGAGCGCAGCTTTGAGCAAGGGATCAGGGGTTGAACGTTTATTGTTAAAGCAGGGCGAAAGCGTATTTGTTGACTGCCACACCGTCCACATTCTCTTCTTTCACAACGATTATCTACTATCTAGCGGATTAAAGGGTTGCCATTGTATTACAATTATTCCGAAAAAAGACGCGGTTTCTTAACCTTCACTCGGCCACTAAGCTCCCCCTTATTCCTCAGCGGGTCGTTCTCCCGCAAGAAGTGTCTCCTGAATTCTTTGAGATGGGAGCCATCGTTCAGCTGGGATGAACCACCAAGAAAGGATGGCGAAGATTGTGACAATGGCCATGATGACGGGAGCATAGTTGAGCGTCGATGCCTCGACGGGAAAAGCGTAAGGCGAGAACAACACAGCCACGACCCAACCGTTCCACACGACAGCGATTGCTTGGAAAGGCTTGCTAAGGCGTCCCAGACTCCACGCAGGTTTTGGGAATTGCTTCGGCGTCAGGAACAGACGGCAGAGACAGATCAGGCCATAGGCAGCGGCTGAAGGCACACCTGCCGCCGAGACGAGGGAGGTGAAGGCCACTGATGACGGGAGAATCGTGCAGGTGATAACGGCGGAGACGCCCCAGACAACCAACACGGCGTTTCTGGGCTGGCCATCGACGACTTTGGCAACCCATGGGGACCACGGGAGGACTCCGTCGCGGGCTACGGCGAAGACCAAGCGCGACGCAGCGAGGATTGCAATCGCAGTGTTCTGCAAAGCCATGGTCAGCACTTGATACCTAGTAGACATATGGACAGCCTAGCCTCGCGATGGCATGGAAGACTTACAAACCACAATGCGACAATGCAGATGACGTTCATAAAAATGTGCCCTCCGTCTCCGAGGATGGCTGCGTAGAGAGGCACAAATGGCTGAGCACCGCCAAAAGAGAAAAGAACGTCCGCGTCAGGCTAAAGCACAGCGTGATTAGTATGACTTTTTATTTCCACCAAGCAAGAAGTATGGTGACTTACAACGCAGAATAGGAACAGGATCACAACGATGAAGCCACCGATACCACTGACCACGGTACTCCAAAAGATACCACGAGCAGCGGCCACACTAGCATTCTTGGTCTCCTCCGCAACGTGTCCCGACGCGTCGAATCCAATGAGAATGCCGGCGGTGGCAAGATACGACAGACACCAGTTCCAGCCTGCCGGAGCGCCGGTTCCGTTGTACGTGGTCAAGAAAGCATCATGAGCGGATCGGAAACCGTATATGCTGTTGCTTGTTGCGACTGGTAGCCAGATCATGTTCAGAACAAAGTCCAACAAGACGAAACCTGTTGATAAGTAGAAGATCCATTTGAAGTAGCGAGCTGAAGTCTTGTCAGCTCAACTTGAGTCAGTGAAGTACTCGTGACGGGGGTCTCACGAGGCAAGAGGTTCCAAATGGCAGCCAAGGCCAGCATGATCTCCGTTGTGATCCATTGAACGGCTCGGAATTTGACGCTTGAGGGATCTGAAGGGAAGTCAAGGTCGAAAACGACGATTTCCTGCCAACAAGTCAGGGACCAAAACGGGCAAAACATTGTCTCCAATATCTCCATACCGAGAGCATGTAATTGACAGCGGACTGTGTGTTGCCTAAGAGAATTTAGCTTCCACACTTTTCGTTACGCCTCGGAGATGATTGCCAACGTACTCGCACAGAATGTTGTCCATGCTGTGGTACTCCACCAAGCAACAATGAAGCCGAAGAATCTGCCAAACCGAGGTCCGCCGGCTTCAGCAGCCCACAGGTAGATGGATCCCGCAAGTGGAAGCGAAGAGCAGATCTCTGCAATGACCGCAGCGGTGATGAAAGTGAAGACACATGACACGATAAAACTCGTCCTAGTTGGATGTTAGGCACTGCATATGCAGGTCTGATCGCAACGATATAGGCTCATACCAATAAGCCAGGTTGCCTCCGGCCGCTATACCGGTGGAGAATGTCACGCGAACTCCGCCAATGAAGTAAAGAGCAGCTGAGTCAAGTCAGATGCCACGAGAGAAATATCAAGAGCGCGGTTGTGAGCGTACCAAAGGTTGTTGCAAAGTTGTGAAACGTATTGAATGTCCGGTGCAGCACCTAGAAACATGAGTATTTTGTGTGTGAGAGATGGGCCGACTTCTGGCGTCGTCTGCTCACCGGCTTGTAGCCTAGGTTTTCCTACACATCTTGCGGTCAGCTGATCGTTGCATTACCGAGTGCATTCATTTTGTAGATTGCATACCAAGACCCGGGCATCTTTTGTTGTTTCTTCTTCTACATCGCTCTGGAACGTGTTTGCATTCTTGGCGACGCCGTCGTCTTGGCGCTCTGTCGCAGTCATACTGATGATGATGATGTCCTCGATATTGGTCCAAGCTGAGCGAATTAGCGACGTCGGAGCGAACAAATGCGGACGGAGGGGACGTCGTCTTATGGGAGGGAGTATTCGGACCGTACAGGGGCCGTTGGAAAAATTTAATTAGTGGGACGGAAATGGTCGGCTTTTGCGCGACAAGCTAAACAAATTCTTCAATAGCTGGCTGCATGTGCCAATGGCTGACTTATTTAGTCGCGTGATGTGGGACTGGATGGCGGCATCGGTACTAAGGTCGTACGAAGTGGCCTTAGCATCAAGCTGGTGACTCCAAACGAGATGAGTTAAGTTGGCGTGTTCGACGCACAGAGGTTGCCATTGATCAGGGTTGAAGATAGTTATAAGGATACTTAAAGACACTTTCGTCCGCATCCTTCAGGCTCTTGCTTTAGTTTACAGCAGTGCAGCATGCCCAACCGACGTTTGGGCGGTTCTTATTGAAGATAGACAGACCAGCACGTACTAAATAGCAATTGACCTTCTCTACCTGAGGCAAAGGTAGTTTCTCATTGCTCCATGATAGGTTATCTTCTTCTCTTCGGAGCGCGATAATGTATTGGGTTCTAGTTGCGGTCCGCGTGCCCCCTGCCAATCAGGTCAACGGAAACAACCCCGGGTTGACTGCCAGTTGGGGTTTGGTTCGACACTTTTCGGGTAGAAGATGTATCACGCAATCGGCACTCGAAGAACGTCATATGCCAAGCCATGAGAGACGACCAGTCTTGATATGTCCTTTAATGTTCTAGATGCTCTGTGTCGAGATTCTGTTGTAATGGTTCAAAGAAAATTTGGCGTCATTATTGTACCAAATCCAATACTCTTTCTACTGATACCTGCAATTCGAAACTTCTGCCAACTCAAGAAAACACCAATATTGCGTTCATATGATGGCAATTCTAACTCTAGCTTCCCTGTTTATTCTCTGCGTTGTCGCGGTCACAGTGTTCAAGGTGATTCCGAGGAAAGAATATGACATGCCTGTTCTAATACTCTCCAGGCCGTCACTCGAGCCCACGCATCCCCGTTATCTCAAATCCCTAATGCGGGATGGGGAGCAGGCTACTCAAGGTTGATCTGGGCCTTTCGCCAAGAATACCGAGGCCACGTCACCCTCGAACTCCCAAAGCTGCATGAGAAATTAGGTATTCTTAGTAATCGAAACCGTCGATATGAGTGATGTCTGATTCGTCTAGGCCCTCTTGTCCGAATTGGCCCCAATGAACTATCATTTTACTCGATTGACATTTACGACACAGTCCACAGGGTCAACAGTGGATTTGTGAAAGATCCTCGCAACTATGGCGAGTTCGTCCAAGACGAGCACCCCGCACTCTTCTCCATTACGTTCGTTGAAGCCCTCAACAAAAAACTGCTTTTTTCACCGTCTGATAATTGACAGAGACCCGCATGAGCATTCCAAACGGCGAAGAATCCTCGGCCAGCTCTTCAGTCGCAGTAACATTGAAAAGCTCGAAGAGCTCATGCTTCATCATATTGACGAATTCATCTCAGCAGTCGGAAAACGAAGTGTCTCTCTTGATATAGGCCCCGCCTGCCGTGCCCTTGAGGCAGACATCATCTGTAAGACGCTCTGTTGCAATTTGGCTTCTTCTTCTTGTCCATCGCCTAACATCTTTAGCGCAATTTTCATTCGGCGAGGCCCTATCCGCAGTCTCTGCCTGGTCCAAAGGAGAAGAAGTTGCCTTTGTAGCGAAGAATGACGAGAAGGCAACATTTCTGCCTCTGGTGAGTACTGGAAACTCCCAAAATCGACAAAAGGCTGATCGTGGAGATTATGAACTTTCCAACGTTGTATGCTATTTGGATGCGGGTTGAAGACTTGTTTTGTCACATGGAAGGGTCACGAACATCCTCCAAAAAGGGGTTGCAGCAATATGATCAGGTGAGTATTAAATGCTCCGAACCTCGCCAGTCGACTAACTTGAGAAGTGGACGTACCAAGCTTGGGTCAGAAACAAAGATTCAGACCGAAAGTCGCCGTTTCCAAACCTGCTCAACGTAATGGTATCTGCCGGTGTACCAACACAGACCGCTCTATCAGAAGCCAAAGAGAATCTGGGACCCGGAACCGACACCACCTCTGCGTCCTTCGCGCACATCTTGTTCGCCCTTTCGTGGAACCCGACGTTTCAGCAAAAGTTGTACCAAGACCTTGCATCTCGCGGCTTCCCTACAGATATGAATACCTTGGAAAGTATCCCTCGCTTGAAAGCTTGCGTGAAAGAAGGTATTCGTTGGGCTGGTGCGTCTGTTGCAATGTTGCCGCGTGTGGTTCCGAAAGGTGGCGTTGAGCTATGCGGAAAGTTTGTTCCCGAAGGCGTGAGTCGATCCACATTGGCACCATCAGTGATTTGGTATCTCTAATCCCAGATGTAATAGACAATCATAACTTCATCCCCGGTCTGGTATCTCAGAGACAAGTATGCTTACCCGAATCCGGAGCTATTCAACCCCTACCGCTGGATAGACGAGTCCGGCATGAGCGCTACTGAGGATGCATTACGAGACAAATTCTACATTCCGTTCTCCAAGGGAGCCAATACCTGCATTGCGAATCAGTGAGTTTCACTTATGGACTCATCCGGGTGTATCATGAACTGACATGCGATCCCTAGCTTCTCTTACCTCGAGTTGTACCTGAGTGTCACGAAGATGGTGGTCAATTTTGAAATCGCCCCCGCAGATGAAAAAGCTAGACCTGCGCAGCTTGCCGGACTCAATAGTGCGGATTGGCAGCCTGTGCAACTTCCCAAGAGGAAAGAATGGGTTTCTGCGGTGGTCAGCGAACCTCTGCTTATCAAGACAAAGCCACGAAGGCGGCTGTGATTGAAATGGCTCGTGCCCACGTCACTATCTAGAAGGCTTTGAAGAAGTTCCCAGAAACGAAGAGCAAAACATAGACCTCCCCGATCAGCGAAGTAGTGTTGCGGACATCAAGTTTCGTCCCCGTCTGTGCGAAGCCTCTTTATGAAGACGCCTCTGCTATATGGACATTCTGGGTTGCTATGGTTTCTACCGTGATACAAAGCGTGGTCCGAATATTCCTTACCTTTGCCATAGATGATAGAGGTAGACGTCTGAAAGTACAAATTTCTTGATAACTGCGTCCCAGCTGGCCGCTTTGTGTTTCAAGCGATCTTTAATGAGGTCACACGAGCGGTCAAGTTAATCACCCACGGCAAGTTGTGGATCAAGAGGCCAAACAGCAACCAGCCCTCCCAGCAACTCACTCTCTATCATGAGGTCGTCGTCGCCCTGGTGGTCTAGCGGTATGATTCTTCCTTAGGGTTGTCATTAAACACATCCACCTGGAAGAGGCCCTAGGTTCGAATCCTGGCCAGGGCCTGACCCTTTTGTTTGATCCACTCCGATGTCTTGGTGGAGCTCGGAGTTGACTTTTGGTAGCAGAACTGATGACTCTGTAGAGTTGTGAAGGCCTGGTCAGGTTTGCCATAGCAAACTACTGGTTGAACCCTTTTCTTCTTCTTCTTCTTCTTCTTCTTCTTCTTCTTCTTCTTCTTCTTCTTCTTCTTCTTCTTCTTCTTCTTCTTCTTCTTCTTCTCCTTCAGTTAGGTCGGTGGTTCCTCTGGTGGTCTGTTGTAGTTCATTTCATGTTTTCTAAAACAGAAGAGATCTAGCGTGATGCCGAGAAAAGGACCAAAAGTGCAAGGTAAATCTCATCAAGCCGGCTCGTAACACGCCTTACAAAAAGTACGAGGTTCGTCAAAGCTCCTTGAATGAGCGAATGAATTATCATTTAAAATGGTTCTAACACGACTCATTACAATGAGTCCATGCGTGCCGCGCGCGTTCTATCTTCATCCGAGCTGGGATTACAATTTGTAAGCGTTTCACTATTTTCGTGAGTACCAAAGTTGTTCACAACGTGGAGAAGGCGTCATGAAATGGGGAGCGCTATTAGCAAGCATGTCTAAGGATTCTTTTAGCCAAGATAATGACTTACGTAATAGCCACTGTCGTAGATGAGCTTGTAATTTTACATGCGACGAAAGTAGAATCTCCAACATGCAACTGACATCAACATCGTGTATGCATTAAGTGGTGAGTCGTCTAGGCTTAGCTAGTCTACTGAAATCTACCGGGTATCATTTCTATATTATCAGACCGCTCTGTTATGCAAATTTGAGGGGACCCCTTAAAGGGTCTTCCTCCAATCCCACTTAGTTGCCAAGCCTCTCGAACATGCGATCATGATACTGCCCAGAGCAAGTGTCACGCCCGCCCAGATCCAAGCACTATAGTAACCAATGGAGCGCACAAGTGCGCCACCTACGGGAGAGCCCAAAAGCAAAGCAACAGACATCACGGCGTACGCCATGCCAAGTCTGGTTCCGATGTACTTCTTGTCCTCCGTGAGCAGAGAAAACGTGGCCGGCTGCAGAGAAAAGAAGGCTCCGCTACTGCATCCGTAGAAAATGACAGTCACCAACAAGCCGGGGGTGTGGGTGACGGCCGAGAGGCAAAAGGCCGAAATCGATAAGCTTGCTACGGCGACGATGAGCATGTTCATCCGTCCCAGTTGCGCGGTGAACAGGATGGGAATGGTGCGCCCGACGATGGATGCGCCGTTGAGGATTGCCAACAGGTACTTGTCAATCTCGGTGCTGACGGCGTGCCTTGCCAGCGCGTACCCTGGGACGTAGACAAAAGGCGTGTACATGCCGAGGAAAACCAGGCAGCAGGCGCCCACGAAAAATAGGTACGGAGGATCTTTGAAGGCAGACCGGTCGATCAAGGGTCTCCTGAAAGCCGATGGTTTGGGTGGTTCCATGGTCAAGATGGAAACGCTGAGAGTTGCCAACGCGATCAGCGCCATGGTGCGCACAGTCCAGCGGAAACCAATTTCGGGCTGAATCGATCGAAACAGGATTGGTAGTACCAGGCTATGGGGGAAAATAATGTTAGCACCCAGTCTTAGCCGACGGGATATTTTGATTAGGGGAAAGTATGATGCTTGAAGACTTACCCGCCAACACCGCTTCCTGCCGCTGCTATGCCGGTTGCCATGGGGAGCTTTGTGGTAAACCACGGCGATAGTATGGCAACTCCCAAAACGGCCAAGCCTCCCATCCCGACTCCAATGCAAAGTCCTTGTGTAAGCAATAGTTGCCAGAGGTTCTGGCTGAAACTTTGGAGGATGGATCCGGTGACGATGAGCATGGTCCCCACCCAGAGGAGTTGCTTTGCATAACCCAGGTCAAAGATGGGGCCCGCAAAGAGACCCAGGAACACCATCAGGAAACTCTGCAACGAGCCCACGGTGGAAATAGCGAAAGAACTGTGTTCCCTCAGGAGATCGGCTTCGTAGTAGACCTGGAATGTACCGAAGCTAGCGACGAGACCTGTACCGTTTGTGTTAGTTCTAAACTCGCTCCTTTCATGGCTTAATCCCCAAGTTGATGCGGCCCGTGCGGGCTCCGCGGGATCCCAATTGCAAAAAGACATAAGGCAGTTGAACGGCGGGTCCGGCTTTTTGACTTACCCCATGTGTTGAAATAAATGAAAAACGAGCCGAGAACCTGAAGCCAGGCCTTCAAGCCTCCATTTGGAGGATCGGCTGGCTTAGTGGGCGACTGTGACGCAGACTTGAAGTCATCATTACCATCGCTACCGCTCTCCTCATCGAGCTTCTGCATCGGGTCTCCGCCCGGCCCGTAGGACTTTTCCTTGTCGGATGTGTACTCCATGGTTCTCTCAATACGGGTAGGTTGGGTCGTATCGGTCGCGGGTATTGCAAGCGCTGCAGGTGGCGTTGACGCAAGTACCGGGATAGTCTGTCGTGCCGTCTCTCCCTCGATTGGCGGGCTCAAGTGCGGCTGCGGCTGCGGCGTTGGTAGTACTGATTCGTTGTCAAGGCCGGCTTGATGAACAGAGCGAGAGGTGATCCAGCAACGACGACGAAATGAATGAATTAACGATAGGTAAAGAGCCTGCTCAGCAAGCCTTTGTGTCATCTATCCAGTTCTTCCCAACCTGAGCAGTTAAAGAACGAGTAGAAATGGAAAATTAGCCTTCCGTTTGTTTAAGTACAGTGGACGGAGTCCTCCACGGACCCCCTCAAAACGCCGCCTGGGCCTCGCCGCAGCTCGGGTTGCGCCGCCCGCGGTCGCAGGCCACGTTACAGAGACCAGATGGACCTGCAAGTATATCGTTGTTGCGATGATTTGGGGGAAAGTATAGCGGTAACCTTACCGTTTCCAGGCGGGATGGAAATAACCTGAGGCGAGGGGCCGCGAGTTTAACAAGAAGTGCAAGTCAGGCACAGTGGGCCCCCTGGCTGTTATTGTTCGGGAAACTTCCAACGTCTCGGAGACCAGACAAGTCTTGACGCAGTCTGAAGAGTGTCAAGAAAGCTTGGAAGGGTTTGGTGATGTCGAGGCCCAATGAGGAAGTCGGATCGGCCAGTGCGTTTAGGGATCAACGTTGCAGGAGGCGGGCGACGGAAAACAACAGGTGTCAGAGTAGTCCGTTACTAGACGATTACGACAAAGTAGATAGAGCAAACTCGCAAACGACACATCACGTTTGGCATTTATAAGCGGACCGCCCTGGATAGATGTGGCCGCAGAGAGGGGGAGTCACATTGCAAGAATCCTCCAACGTCTCGGATCTCTTTTGGCATCTGCGAACGCCAACAGCTTTGAGGCATTTGAACCTCGTTGATATCTCGGCGTAGTGGAGTGGGCGATTGATAATTCTTGTGCGATTGTGGTTAGGTTACACTGGGCGGTGAATGAGAAAATGCTCTTTTGAGTCTTTTCCATCAGTTCGGCCACGGTCCGTCGTCTGGTAGCGGGGTCCTTATCAGCTTTTCGGCATCGTCGTCTGCTGTTCAGAATGCCGAACCACAGAAAGAGTGACTCTAAGGCTCCTCTTTGAAGAAAAAAGATGCCGAAGCCCTCTTTATGTATGGCTTGGCGCGGGGATCGAAAATCGGGGATTGAATTTCGAAGAAAGCTGACTTATCTAGCAATGTGAGTAGCAATGAGCGTGATAAACAACCCGCCAGTTCCCGTGACGTCCCGCTAGTTGCCGCCCGAGTTGCCGCGCAATGCGGCACCGGTGGGATGAAGAAAATGTCAGTGTCATTGCATGACAATAGGATTAACCGTCGGCGGGGACATTCTAGTTCCGTATGTGCTATCCGTGTGGATATGCAATATTGAGTAATTGGCCCTTATGAGGGATAGGAGTAGGCGCAGAGATTGATACTCCGTACAGTGAAATGGGAAGTTGGCGCAGGAATTCTAGTTCTGTAGCGTAACCTTTTCCTCGGTTCGGTTCCGAGCATTCAGCACTGAACTAGGTAAACAGAGCTTGCCAGTTCCGAACCGAGGGAACGTGGCCACCGTCGGGACTCGGAATGGGGGGGTCGTGGAGTGATTGTCGGGAGATCAATATGGCAGGTCGCACAAGGCCGCAGAATCTCCAAATAAAGTTGCAGATGATGTGCTGAAGGAGTCCGACCTAATCATGCTGGGGGCCCTTTCGCGCCATCAAGAGTCGATAAGCGTTGCTCGGTTTCCTCGGTCTCGGTCTTGAGTCCCGCTGACGATTGATTGAATCGGTGCACTGCGCATGGTCGGGTTAAAGAGGGCGAGTGATAAATGACAGCGCATCTGTACTCGCACAAGTACGAGGTTCGAACCCGACAGATTCGGTTTGCCTGCATATTGCAGCTCCATGTGCACCGTAACGGCAAGCCAAGGGAGTTTACATCTCCACCAGGGTTTCGTACTATGTACGGATACGTTCGTGTAGTAAGGGGCCACTATTAATTAACATCTGCCGACTTTTCCCCAGCCCTGGTAAGTTGGTAACCGTGGGCCCTGGCTCGTTCGCACTAACGAACATATGAGATCCATGGAGAGGTGCAGATCACCATGTCCATCGCAATTGGCTGACCATGATCAATCACATTCCAGAGGCGGCGTGTGCATATGAAAAAACAGGAGGTTTGTTTATCCACATATTGAGCTTCAGGGGTCTCTCTAAAAAGAATTTCGTTGGCCCTTTTTGGGCCCCTCGCTCCAGTAAACCCGGTAATGGTACATCATCTGACTAAAATCAAACTTGAAAATCATCAACACAGAAGCTGGCTGGCCGCAACTGTTTGGTATTACTGAGTCAGGTACGACAGGTACTGCTTCCACTCTTCTCCTCCTTGGCCGACGTAGCCAATGTACATGTCTGGCCTGACGACAACGGTGAAGTCGTCATCCTCACCCGCCCAATCAGCTGTGAAGAACGTTTCTGGCGATGAAGAATCTTCAGTCACTCCAGTTGTACGAGGGGTCTCCGCATTGTGGGGAGCGACAGTGAAGAGTCTGGCCAAGTCCTGGAGATTGTCCCCCAGGGTGGCGGCGGCGGGACCATTCGATTGTCGTCCAATCTTGAGCACCAAGTGCTTGCCATACTTGCCCGCCACGAGATCATACAAGCGCTTCGGCTCTTGTCCGGATGCTGGCGTGAGGAAGACATCCGGACAACGCCGGCCCGCGGTCCAGAGTCCCAGGCTCGGGGATTCTTGGATCAGGGGGGAGCCGGTGCCATCGTAAGAGACACCCATGCCTAGTTTCTGCACGTTAGTCGATAATTCTTGCCGTTTTGCTGTGCTTGAAGACTGCTACTGTGTAGGTTTCGGCAGGGCGGAGAAACGTGGAGGAGAGGGATTGTCGCATGGCAGGGTGGTCTGGAAGGACTTTCCGAATCTGCAGTAGTCCCCATGTCCCCTTCACAGGGGGGACCAGACACGCAGACACTCTAACAAACAGAGTTTGAAGGAGCAGAAGCGCGCAGCCCTAAGAGGACTCCGACTTGCCGACTTGGGGATTCGGGACTTGGGGGGGGAGAGCTAGGAGGGTATCACGCAATAAACATGCAAGACAAGCGTACCTGTAATGTACCCAGCGTTTTTCTCGATTGTGGAGACGTACTCCTTTGCGGTTCGAACCGTGTCTCTGACAAGCTTTGCTGCAACGTCGATGACGCCCTGGGCAACGCTGCGCCGCTCAATGTCGTAGCTCCGGATGAGCTTATCAGCCGCGCCAGAGCTGAGCTTCTTGTTTGTGATGGCTTGCGCCAGCCTCCATGATAGCGCAAACGAGTCGGCAATACCGGTGTTGAGGCCTTGGCCGCCGTTCACCGAGTGAACGTGCGCTGCGTCGCCCGCCAAGATGATGCGGCCGCCGCCGTTCTGGGACACAAAGGTCGACGCAATGCGCTCCTTGACTACCATTACATGCACTGTCAGCTATCATCATGCAACAAAACATTGGATGGCATGCTGACAGGGCGGCTATGCTGCCGGCCCGCCGCTGCTGCATCAAGGGGCTGCTCAAATTACCTTCAAACGTGCTGAACCACTCCGTCTTCTTAAAGTCCACTCGGTGAGGGGCCATGTGCTCCCGAATCGAGTTCTCGGCCTTCTCCTGCGTGATCTCGCCATCGAGCAGAATATAGAATCTGGCCATGCCGCGCTCTCTGGGGATCCACGAGACCCGGCTCTGGCCGTTGAGCTGGAACGTAATGATCTCGGAGCAGACCGGGAACGACGTGTCAATAAAGGTGTCCAAAACGGCCCAAATCATCTCTGGCTTGGTGCCGGTGAAAGTGATGCCCAGCGTGTTGCGGACTGTGGAGCGAGCGCCATCGGCTCCCACCGCGTATCTGCTGCGGATGACTCGCCCCTTGTTGGTCGTCGTCACCACGCCGTTCTTGTCCTCCGAGATGGAAGTGACAGTCTCGCCAAAGCAGACGGACGTCTTGAGTCTCTCCACGAGGGCCTTCTCGACAGCGGGCTGGCCAATCATCAAGAAGTTCTTGCGGAAGCAGTGCTGAAGGCTAGTCCACCATTGGTTCTGGCGCGACTTGAAGTCGCCCTCTGCAAAGGTTGAGCTTGCTGCAGTCACTGTTAGATACTGGGGATTCTTTCAGAAGGAGGTACGGTGGGCGGGAGCCTACTGTTGCAAGTGATGCCTTGCGGGAGAAGCTCGTCAAGAACACCAACGACCTCGAGAGCCTGTTGGGTGCGAGCATTGAGCGCATCGGCTCTGCCCAAATCAAGAGTGGCATTCTTGCTGTCTTTTTCGGCCGTCAGCACTGAGATTGAACTCGAAGCTGTTTTGCAAACCTACCAATGATGCACACGGATACACCCAGCTGCTCGGCGAGGTAGCCGGTAAGAAGACCAGTTGGTCCGCCTGGTGTACTCAAGTCAGCAATGCTGTTTACTTTAACTCATCTGGGCAATTCCATATCGGCATGACTACTTACCACCGATGATGGCCAAATCGACCTGAGTCTCAAGAGTCTCGTCGCGAGGAATAGAGCCCATGGTTGATGGTGGTGAAGTGTTGGACGGGGTGTGGTTTTCAAGTCTTTGTGACAATGAATGGCAATGAAGTTGGTGATGAAGTTGGTGGTGATGTTGGACGCAAGGACTCAACTCGGTGTAAGTCGCGGTTCAAGATATTTGACGGTAATTGGTAGGATCTATCCGAGTAAGGCACACGATGGTTCCGGAAGAAAAAAGTCCGAGATGCAGGTCGAACGACTACCGATTACAAACAGATCGGACCAGGGGTGAAGGCATCGTCTAACGCGGAACCAGCAGATATTGTTCGATGGGTGGCTTACATGATGTCTGACATTAAGGGCCAAGGCCAGATCCGGGGACCAGTTACGGTCGACCGCCGAAGGGTGTGCCGTGCCTTGTGCCGAGCCCCCTCCCCCCCCCCGGTGTGGCCGATGCTCGAAGAAATACCGCGGGTAATCGTCTGATCTCGGAGCGCGCCGGGGTCATTCCTGACACGGAATCGAATGCTTCACATCAACCACACATGACTGTGGATGCACTCCGCAAAGGGTAATCGACCTAACAAAACTGAATGTTGTTCCGACGATCTTGATGTGACACGCTACGACATGCCAATGTAGCAACGCAGCTGCAATCCCGGCTATCTGGCAAGACCTGCCCAGTCGAGGAATCTGCGCCGTGGCCCTCCCAATCTTTCGCCATGCCATCCCGGACATCGTGTCCCGGTCCAGAGAGGCCGATCGGGTAAGGCGCGCTTTTGCAATACTCGGGGGGGGGCTGCCCTGTCCCCACAGGCACGGGAGCATCCTGCCGGTGCGGAATCTGGCCCCCCCTACTAGTCGTCTCTGTGACCACCGTACATAGTATGTTCCAACGGTTGAGCCACCCATCTGCCGCGGTTCAACCTGGGATGAACCAGACTGTCAAGAGACTAGGCCAACGTTGGTGGCTCGATTCTGTTTTCGTCCAAGTGGTTCCCTCCCCACACTGGTACGCCTCCCACCAGGACTTAAAGGATGCAAAAAACAGGATCTATCCACCTTCCCTTGACGACTCCCGCGCGGCTACAACTTAGATCTTGGACTAGCCAGTGGCCAGACAGCTTCCCCTTTGAGGCTTTAGCCGGCAATGCCAGTTGGTCCACCGTGACGTGGGTCATTAGCTGTCAGCCCTTCAAAATTGGTCCATGTCCCGATGGAGCGCATGAGTTTCTTGGTCCTGATGGGCTCGTTCCTCCTGGGCGGTGGGGTTGGGAGCACTGACTCGATCGACGATGGAAGTCGAATGAAGAGTAGGGAAAATGACTAAACGTGAATAAAGGGAAAAAAAAAAGAAGGTCATGCATGGTATGACAGCCACTGACAGGGTTAGGATGCCTGATGCTTCTGATTCTGTGGACAATCCTTACCATCTTGCCATCCTTCTAGACAATTTTCTATTGACCCCTAGTGGCGACATAGAGAGTATCGAACAACCACGGTAACTGTGGATGAGCAACACCGGAATAAGACCGTTATGGGCCTTCATATGGGGGATGGCCAGATGTGACCTGATGCAGCTCCAAGCCCATCGCGGCCAGTACCGCGACTTGGCCCGCTGCTCCTTGCCATGGCCCTTTCCGTTTGATCGTCATCTCCGGGTGTGTCTGTACATAGCATGCAGATGCAACGCTGGCAAACCATTCCGCGAAAGGCAGCTGGATATAAGCCGGTTGCCTCTCCCGAGCCTTTGGAAGGTTTTGCAATTCTAGACCAGGCTCAAATTGCATGAAGACCCAGCTGCATCTGCCAGCTTTAAACTTACTTTGATCGTCGTTTATCTTGATACTCAAGCCTCCCCTTACCCTTCACACTTCCCCTCCATCTTTTTCTCACACCCCCCGGTCTCTACTACTTTAGCCACAACCAACGACATGCCCTCTCTTGTCGAAACACCGGTTCGCCAACCGTCACCAGAGGTTCAGCTCATCTCCAAGGTGGCACCTCAGATGATGGACGACGAAGCCCTCTCTAAAGCTGCCGACATTCTGGACATCATCTGCCGCTACCGCCTCAAACGGCCACATGAGACAGGCCCTGCTGAGCTTGAGGGCAGACTTGGCTTCCTCTCCCAGATTTACAGAAAAGTCAAGACTCAGAGCCCAATCCGCATGTGTCTTCCCGCTTTCCCCTTCAAGTCGCCCAACACAAAAGACAAGGTCCTCAGCCGTCTGCCGGATAAGGCCGAAGAGTTCGCCTTGGCGAACCTCAACGGTCTCTGCTCTGCGATCAAGGATATCTATGAGCCTGGCGCAAAACTCACCATCATCTCTGACGGTCTTGTATACAACGACCTTCTCGGTGTCCCTGATAAGGAGGTCTGGACATATGGAGAGACTCTGCGCGGCATTGCTGCCGAGAAGCGTTTGAGCAACATCGACTTTTCCCGCCTTCAGGACCTCGTTCACCTTCCTAACCTCCCTACCAAGCTCGAGGAGATCACCTACGTTGCAAACGCCACCAACTTCCGCCGTGCCCTTCTCAACACCTTTGGACGAGCCGACTACGATCCTTCCAACGAGATCTCCAAGAACGAGGACACCTGCTTGACATATCGCGGATACATCAAATTCCTCGAGACTGATTTGCGCCATGTCTACCCCGTCGGTGCGGATCGCTCCAAGACCAAGTTCAAGACTGGCATCGAGTATATCTCCAAGCAGATGCTGCAACGTGGTGATGTAAGTCGCAACATGAATTGTACTCTTCTTTTCTCTCAAATTCTAACATTCTAAACAAAGGCCTTTGCCCGCGCCGTCCGCGAAAACTTCCGCGACCACATCCGCCTGTCCATCCACCCCTCCACCGGCGAGACCAAGATCTCCATCAGCCCTCTTCCTACCTCTTCCTACTACACCACCCCCTGGCACTGCTCCATCGCCTTCAGCCTGAGCGGCGCAATCACCACCGGTCCCCGCGTCGACTTTGAGAACGACCCCAAGTACGAGCTCGTCTACGAGGACGCAAGACCCAGCTACTTCCGCGAGAAGAGCGACCTGCTACAGTGGAAGTCGGACGTCACCTTTGAGCCATTGTACCCCTGCGGTCTCGTCATCCGCCCGGCCCCCGGCTCCAAGAAGCTCTCCATCCACGACGTTGACGCGCAAAAGGTCCGCGCCATCGCCGAGGTCAACTCCCCCGTCATCATGAGGGGATTCACAAAGACGAAAGACCGCGACCTGTTCGTCAAGAAGTCGGAGGAGTTCGGCACCCCACTGCCCTGGAAGTTCGGCCTCGTCTTGGAGGTGAAGGACCAGGGTGCCGACACTCGTGGTCTGAACAACGTTCTGTCAGCCGAGTGGATGCCATTCCACTTTGATGGGCTGTTCAAGACCCACAAAGTGACCCAGGCGGACGGAACTGAGAAGCTTCTTCCCAACCCTCCCAAGTAAGCGGTCTCCCACCTTTTCCACCCCCCCTTTCCCCCAGCTGTGGCGAATTTGTCAAGCGAAACTGTCAAGCGAAAACTTTCTTGAGCTTCTTTCTCTAACACACCGAAAAAAAAACAGGTTCCAGTTTTTCACCTCCATTACTCCCTCACCGAGTGATACCGGCTTCACCCTCTTCACGCCTTCGCGACTCCTCTTCCAGAACCTGCCCCCTCACCTGTCTCTGGACAGACTCCGGCAGCTCACCTGGAGCGTCCAGACCATGTCGTTCGACTCCACCAAGATGGTCGGCCTCCCCCTCGTTGTCGACCACCCGACGACCGGAGAGCCCTGCATCCGCTACCACGAGCCCTGGCCGCAGTCCAAGACCGCCTTTGACCCGACCAACGTGGCCATCGAGGGCGTGAGCGAGAGCGAGAGCACCGAGATTTGCAACGCCATTGACTCGCTCCTCCACGACCGGAGAAATACTCTCTACTTTTCCTGGGAGCAGGGCGATCTGCTGGTCAGCGACAACATCCTGGCCATGCATACGCGCAGTGACTTCACGGCTGGTTCGCCCAGAGAAATGTGGCGCATTCACTTTGATTAAGGCATTTTCACAGGAATTTGTTTTTGCGCTTGGATTTGTTTTGATATGCAAGGAAAGGTTTCGGAAAAAAATTGGCATTGGTGGTGTTAGTTTAGGATTCCCTCTCTGTTCTGCTTAAATTTGGCACAGACTCATTTTAACATGAAGCGAATTGAATCAATTTTGTTTTAAAAAACTGAGAGAGCAAAGAGGCCGTCGATTGTTTATTACAGTGATGATCCTGAATCCCCGCCTTCTGGTATATATACGGGCTGCATTGCAGCTTGCCAAAGTAGCACTGTGGTTATCACATTATTCTGCTATCACGTCACGCTGCATCAATGGGTTAGATTTAAACTTACGGAAGGCAAAAAGGCATCGAGTGACTACATCTATCCAAGTGTTATGAGATGTTATGTGGCTGTAAGAGATTTTCTGATTCGTTATTGCACTCGGAGGTCACACGGTACCTTAGTTTCGGTACGTGATGTGAACTAGAAACAATAGACTGCGAAGGATAGTCTCGCCAATACAACTCTACAGAGCCAAGTCGTAACCGTACATGAATGTTGCTGCTATCTTCATAACTAACTATTCAAAGTACTGAAATTATGTATCTGAATAAAGATGCATCTCATACTCACCTGATACTCGAGAGTTTCAATTGTGAGGACGTGATGACTTTAATCCGTGTGAGTGAACTGCCAGGATGAGCTGGGTCGTAATCAAATGGTTACAACGGAAAGACTCTGGGACCAGGTTCTATTCCGGTGGCCAGACCCTTGTTCGCAATAAATGAAAAGTCTGTTTCGTTGTTGTTCGTCAATTACTCAGTTGAGTATGGCATGACTCACAATCATCAATACCAAGACTCTTTTCCTCGGCATTCATAGAGTATCTTGGCAAGAACTATGAACTTTTGTTGGAAAACGCATTTTTCCAACGTCAAAAAGGTTGGCATTATGGGTGAGATACATGACCGCGGATAGCCGGAGGTGCCGCACCCAATCCAGGAATTCATCATGTTGCTCGTGAATTCGTCGTTGACCAGATAAGATAGTCAAGCCTCGAGATTAATGATCAACTCTGCGTTCAGAAATCTCAGTAGGAAGCAGAAAGATCCCGGCAGCGCGTTAAAACTTCAGCCGCCAGATGAGATGTTGTCAGGGACGGGCCGCAGGGTGCGAAGCCAAGGTACTAGGGTGCGGCAACCCCGGCCGCGGAAAAGGCCTCTTAACTCCGGAGCCATATGATGCTTGTAGTCTGTTGATTTGATAAGGTGCGATGCAATTTGATAAGCTGGGATTCGAATACCTACTATGTAAGTTGTTGGAACCGGGGTATTGCTGCACACCCAACGCGGTTACACGGGTTCTGCATCCTTGAAAGGAGGGGGGTGGGCTTCAGGAGCAGACGTCCCCTTTAGCCAGGTGGTACTGAGCGCAGAATGGTTCCTTAGCCTACCATTTACGCACCTCGCGAGTAATTGAGCCTGACCCTTCATAACAGATGTATCGGCGTCTTCCGAACCTCCATTTTGGGACAAGCTCACGATGTCTCGGGTGCAAAGCGAGCAAGAGAAGCACCCGAAGCTCTTCCGACCGAACTTAAACATTAACAAGCGGCAATGTACGCGGGTCGCACTCCTTGAAGTTCTGGCTTTAAGCATGTGCAAGACCGGCACACTATTCGGAAAGAGCACTTGCTCAACTATAGCCTAGAAGACGGTGGGGAACCGCTATGTTCATTTCTGGGAAAAGTATTCCTGCTGTTCCATTCTCTCATGTCAACGACCATGAGACATATCACGAGAAGCTCCAAATGATCATCAAGAAGGTGCTCTCACATTTATAAGAAAGGTGATATCAAATGGGTTGTCGTTCTGGGATTGGTAGGTGTTGTAGCGTATTGTTTCGGTTAAGGGGGGTTATTGAAATGCATTATACGAATGAGCGAAAGAGAAGTACCCAATACTATTGAAAATTTAACCCCAGGAGTTCTTCTCAAGAAATTCATTGCTACGTACTCATATTCTCACTCTGCTTGAAGCATTTAAGCTGAACCCCGTACCTCGCAACCTATATTCATCGAGTCTTCAGCATGGAGTTGCTGCCTGCCGATTCTTCGGAAAACCAGGCGCAGTAGACCTTTTCCGCTTGCTGAATGAAGAAGGAGCTCAAGTGTGAGACGCGATTGACAGAAACTTGTTAAGTATTCAAGTCAAACATCCTATAGTTAATAGAGAACCTCGGAAACGTTTCTCAAAGACTGGTTCGAAACTTTCCACATGCCTTGGTAACTAAGGCAATGCACATCTATGAAAGTAGAAGTATGTCAGAAAGTCCATTGTCAGTATGCCCTGCAGTTGACCATGACTATGTTTCGCCGTTTCAATTTTAGTCGGTGTCAATGATGGTGTTCCCCGTCTTGACTGCCTTGATTGTGAACTGCTGTTGCCTTCAACGCACTTTCCGTCCACCACCTTTACCCACCTCTTGCCCTTCAGATAGCTGCGTTATGGTTCCTTCCTATTTGAATTTCTATTATTCACCCAATAAGGATAAGGTGATCTTCTCTTCACCTTTGAATTCAAGTGAACTCATTCGCTCACATGATCATCTTCACTCTCAGATTCCGTACTCGACAACACTCTCATACCTGCCTTTTCCTTCTCCAAACTCTTCATCTGGTTGCCGACTAAGGTACCGTCTGCCATTTATCTGCCTGAAGTCCTCCCATAAAAAGCTCTTTCCCATTCGATTAGCTTGCAGGGTCTTCTTCTACATCCCATCCCATTCGGAATTCCTCCTCTTCTAAAATTTCCTCCGTTCACCCAGCCACACATTCTTCCTCTCACTTCATCCCCCAGGACCACCACAACCTGCAACTGCTGTAAACTCTTGCATATCTACTTGCAACTTTACGTCTCCTCATCATAGAAAATTCCATCCCCATCACAACATCAGCAAGACTCATTCATCATGTCTTCTGCCGGCTCTTCCTCCGAGGCTGCCCCCAAGCCCGCCCTCACCGAGCGCGAGCTCGAGATCCTCAAGAACGCTTGGGGCTCCATGAAGAGCATTCCCGAAGTAAGTGCTACTCCCATCCACCACCTCCTCCATCAGCACCTCTTCAAAAACCCTGTGCAACTGACAACTCTCTTCGTTTCTTCTCCCTCCAGGTCGACTACCAAAAGCTGGCCGCCGCCTGCGGCATGACCAACCCCCGCTCCGCCTCCAATGCCTGGAGCGGCATCAAGAAGAAGCTCTTCGCGGACCTTCCTGCCCCCGTCAACGAGAGCAGCAGCCCCGCCTCGACCCCCGCCAAGCGCAAGCGCACCACCCCGGCCAAGAAGAAGACCACGGCCGCCGCCGCTGCTGGTTCCGACGACGGCGACGAGCTCGCCGCTAACTCGGACGGCGAGGCGACGCTCGCCGTTGAGACGCCCAAGAAGAAGCGCGCCACGCCCGCCAAGAAGAGAGCCGCTGTCGCTAAGGTTGCTGTCAAGGACGAGGGCGCTGAGGAAGAGGTCGAGATGCAGGGCGGCGAGAAAAAGGGCGAGGCCTAATGATCTTGCATCTTTTCCCATGGCAGTACATCATTTCACCATTCGGGCCTCACGATGTCTCTTTTCATGGTATTCGAGCTTCGGGCAGCAGTGACAGTCTGGGCAGTTTAGTGGCTTTGACTGGCGTTTGGGCTTTTTCAAAGGTAATGAGCATGGATATCGGTTGGGTCTGGATCATGGTTGAGGCGTCGAGGTCTCGTGATACCCTTATAGGTTTTCGGGTAGCTTGATAGGCCTTGAGACACAGGTCAATGATTGCATCAAGCATCCTTGCTACATAAATGTGGTATCTTGACTTTTGCACTCGTGATTGAGTCGAATGTCCTGCGTTTGTCCCCATTATCAATCAACCTTGTTATTTCGTGGTGACGGCGTCTCATCCGCCATCCAGTCGAGCACGAGGGGAAACACCACAAAAGCATCACACAGGATGCGACCGCATCACAAAGTATGCAATAACCACATGCGTCCTAATTGTCAAAGGCCCTTCAATCATGTTACTCGGAACCGGAGCTTAACCCTTGCCCTTCCCATCGTCACGCTCGCCCTGGGTCGAAGGGATACCAAAGGGAGAGCTGGCATCCCTTCAACGGCCACATCAAGACTCAGACAAATCGATACCTTGCAGCAAAATTTATTCAACAGTCTTCAATCATAATTTCCGAGAACAAGAAAAGAAAGAAGGAAAAAAAAAACGATCACAATGTCTCGTCTCGCTCTCATCACAACCATCATCATCACGCTCGCCAGCGCCGCCGACGCCGTGGTCTGTACCCAGGCCGAAACCTACTGCGGCTCGCGCCTCCTCAAAGTTGGTGCGTACCCCTTTCCCACTATCCACTTCGTCTCTCATTCATGAAAAACCCTTCACCCCCCGCTGGTCTAACGTCGAGCATAGACGCAAGGAATCGCAAGGCGATTGAAGGGGCCCTGACGTCGGGCAGACAGCCCATCGACGACGCGCACGTCAACCAGTCTGTCTTTTGGTGTGCCCCAGCAGGTGTCCCTGTCCCAGGCGACTCGGGCCTTCTCTTCATCACGTACTGCGGCCCTACAAACATCTGCCAGGAAGGCGGAGCTCTCGGGGGCGTTGGCGATGCTTGCGCGCCCTCCGTGGGTGGTGGGCTCAGCCACCGACATCGTCATCGATATTGAGCGCTGGGGGTTCGTCATTTGATGCAATGAGGCGTAGATGAGTGTACATGTCAACTAGAAATGGGCGGCAGAGACTTATTCAAGGCAGAAACTGTATAGTTCGGTATTGTCTATTCACTTTTCTTTTTTGAGACAGTGGAAAATGGAAAAAATGGCAAGGCTTGATACATACTCGTCACCGCATCTTGATCCTTTTATTAGTAGTCGCCACATCTATTCCTTGATATACTTCTTCAACCCACGAAGACGCTCCTTAGCGGTCTCGAGGACCTCGTCCTCCTTGCAAACGGCGAAGCGGATGTAGTCCGCTGCAATGTGCGCGTTGGGATCCGTATAGAACTCGGTTGGCGGGATGGCGGCGACGCCCACCTCCTGGATGAGGAACCACGCGAGCTTGAAGTCGCGCGGGCGACTGGCGACGTGGGGCGGAAACGGGTAGTCCTCGGGCAGCTTAACCTTGGCCATGTTCACGAGAACAAAGTAGCCGCCCTCGGGCTCTGAGTAGGGCATGCCAAGCTCCTTCCATACTTCGTTGAAGCGGTCCATCTTGCCCTTCATGTCCTTGATCGTCTCGTCCCAGAATCCTTCCTTTTCGGCTTGCTCGAAACCTGTTGGACGGAAGTTAGTCTCACTCGGATCGGAGGTTGATGAAGAAGTAGAAAAAGCAGAAGGAGGAAGGGATCGCAAGCATACCAACAGCGCAGGCTTCTTGAAGAGGCGAGACGGAAGAGTAACAGATGCGAGTGTGCGCGGCGGAAACGTGCTGGATGAGCTCGGCAGGACCCATGAGCCAGCCGACGCGCCAGCCGGTGGCGTAAAAGTTCTTGCCCGCGGAGCCGACGGTGATGGTGAGGCGCTCAACCTCGGGCGAGAGCGTGGCGACTCTCGTGAAGGGAACGTAGTACAGGCGATCGTAGACCTCATCGGAGAGGATGATGATCTCGTTCTTGACGCACAGGTCGCCAATCTTCTGGAGCTCCTCCTTGGAGAAGACCTTGCCAACGGGGTTGTCTGTGTCAGGGTGTCAGCCAAAAACGGTTACTACCTCGATTATCTGGCAAGAGAGTGACGACGAACGCGGTGTGTTGAGGACGATCATCTTGGTCTTTGGTGTGATGGCACGTTCAAGCTCCTCAAAGTCGATGGTCCAGTTGGCGGCGGACGATGTCACCGTGGCGCCGTCTGTGGGAGGATGCAGTGGAACGTAGGTGATCTTGCCGCCGGGCATCTCGATGTTGCTAATGTACCTTTTCGAGAGTCAGCATATCTGAGACGTATCACGGAGAGCACCCAGGGCTCAGCTTACTGGTCAAAGAAGGGCTCAAAGACAATGACCTCATCACCGGGCTCAATGAAAGCCATGAAAGCACTCAGCATGCCTGGTCACCAGTCAGTCCACGGTCCTAGGATCGTTCCACTCCCCCGTTGGGAGTCGTCATCTCACCCTCGTTTGCGCCAGTGGTGATGGTGACCTCGGTCTCAGGGTCAAGCTTGCGGCCCCAATAAGGAGAGTAGGCGTCGGCGATGGCCTTCTTGAGTCTCGGACGGCCCTTGGTAGGGCTGTACTGGTTGCACTCGACGCGGTCCAGCGCTTGCTTGGCGGCGTTGAGGATGAAGTCGGGAGGGTTGTAGCCGAAGAACCCCTGGCCCATGTTCACGATGGGCTGTTTCGGAGAGGCGGCAGCGGCCTCGTTGATGATGGACCTGATCTCACCGTTAGCATTATGCACTTTTTCCACCCATCGCCGGCCTCCACAGAAGCGTCACAAGCGCAGCTGCGCTGGCGCAAGTTGTCTCTGACGACCGGGATCTCAGTACACACCAGACATCCTGGCGCCGGCCGGCAACGCGGGCTGCGGGCTTGAGCTTGCTGCTGAGAGACATTGCGGTTGAATGGAAACCTCGTCTGGCGGTGCTGCTGCTGGTGATGCGCGACCGGAAGAGAGGGAGGACGAGGGAGGTCATGGAACGTGAAAGGAGAGGCAGTGGATGAGAGGAACCGGAGCAGCACGGCGAAAGGTAGTGAGTCGACCTCTCGATTACCCAGCTCCAAAAAGAAGCTCCGAAAATTGGCAGACGCTGATTTGCTTCACGGTAGCTCGAGACCCATTCCCGTCTGAAGCGTTTTGAATGGCGTAATCGGCCGTCCCGATGTTCGGTCCTGCATTCCACGCCCTGTGGCGGGGTGAGCCGGCCCAATGCGCTTTTTGGCGGGGTTAAAGTGCACGCTCTGGTTTACATAATCCAACAAAGCCGAGTCGGTGTTTCTCCGGTGCAGTTGGAGTTTTACCCCGCGCTTCTCGTCGGTTCAATTGACTCCAAACTTCTTTCTTCTCCAATGCCTGGGACGAGGATGATTGGCCATGATCAGCCGTGATGTGTACCTCAGCAACTGTTCAACCCTTCAGGAAGAAAAGGATTGAGCCACTGTATCGCATATGATCTTGTCTACTCTTCTTCAAACGCCAATCATTCATCGACATTCACGAGGGCTCTTCATCGTTCCAGTGTCATCCAATCTCCTCTACCAAACATTTTCACTAGGTGCTTCCGATAGTTGTGAAGTCCGTGAAACCCAAAACTTGAATGACTGTTGCCTTGCATGGATCGCTTTTGCTGCTGGGCAATGGTTTGGCGCTTGAAGTGATCCTGATTCAGGATTCGAGAGCCGAGTAACACGATGACATCTTATACTGGGCGTTCGTATCACACTTAACTCGTACAAACGCATGAAAAGCAGGTATTCCTAGGTAAAGAACTTGGCCGGGGACAGGCATGACGATACTGTGCGAGAACTCAGGTGTGCTGGAACAAGGGCTTGCGCCAACGTCAGCAAGAATCCTGCTTGTGGTTCATTTGTAGAACCTCCACGATATTTTTGAATGCTTTCCAGCTCGTCCGAATCATATGATCCAGAAGGCGTCGTCGGACACATTGCCATCTACTCTTGCAGTCCTATCCGGTTTCTGTCTGTTTTTCTATAGCATTTCCGTGAGTATATATAGAGGGCTACTTCTTTAATCGGATCTTGAACTGTAAGCTCAGAAAAACCAGGCAATTACGATGCATTTTTTCAATCCTGCCATCATTGCTTCTCTCTTCGCTGCTGTGGCCTTGGCCAACCCAGCCAATCTCGAAGTCAGGAACGACTGGGCCAAGGTCGTGTCTTTCAGTGACGACCTTTGCACGACAGGCCAGAGCACCTTTGAGGTGACTGGCAGCGGGGCATACCGCTGCATCCCTGTCACCAACAAGAGATCCATCAAAGCCCTCGAGAAGAGGTGTGTCTATCCGTTAGTCTCAATTTGTACAACGTCTAATTTCTCAAGGGGCTGTACGATCAAGACATTCAGCGGATCAAACTGCCGCGGTAGTCATTTCACCATTCCCGATGGGGACCTCGAGTGTCATTCAGTTTTGCATGCGGCTGTCGAAATTTCCTGTTGAAAAGTGGCCAGAGAAACTCCTTCTGCGAAAAGGCACTTTTATGGAATGTTTGTGTTCTCAGCGGCTATGTGCTTCAAAGAAGACAAGTGGCGTTTGACTGCAAATGTGAGATATTGCGCACACCTTCCTACTTTGAAAAATTTGTCAAAAAGACAAAACGAAAAAGAAGGCAAAAAAAGATTGACCACATGGTGAATCGAAATGGGGCCGCATGAAAACCTCGGGAGCTTCACCGAGGTAGTCACCCGATCAGGCATCTCGACTCGTGGTCTTTGGTGATGGCAGGTGAAGGGCTGTTGGTCCCTATAGCTCCTTCCTGTATGGTCTGAGGCACGCCTAGGGGCGTTGAGGAGGGGTCAGTGACTGTATGGGTATTCATTTAGCTGTTAGCATATTCTCATTCTGTTTTCACCCGCGTCTGTCGTTGAAGTGACTGCCTGATTAGGACTAATATCAAAGTCCATGAATATGCTTTTGGAAGTCAATATCACGGTTGACTCTTGAGCGATATGTTTCTTAAGGTAAGCGGATATAAAAGTTGAACCCTTTAGGCATACAGTCCACGATGAGCCACCTTCACATGTTCAGGCTTTTACTTTCCTTGCTACTCATTTTCTCCTCGGGACTATCGCGTGATATTGTACCGGACACTACTAGCCGCGGGCGTCTTCATGGTGGACACTATTAGCAAATTTCGGGTTTCAATGAGGGGTGAGACTATTAATTTACCACACTTTGTCATTAACATGTTAGACAACTTAAACTTTCATGCAGAAAAGGATGAAGAGTCTTTAGACGATGTTCAAATCGCCAGCCTAGTCGCCATTCAAACAGGCGACACTCAAGGTTCACCCCTGAGCAGATCTCGGTGCACGAATATTCGTTCTGACATTAGGTTGCCCAAGATACTAGGGTTACGCAGGGTAATGCCAGGATATCGATGAACAACAACTCAAACTTTTCCTAATTGTACACATTTGACCTCTATCTTGACGTCTCGTGAAAGTAACAATCACTCGTACTCTGCCCTTCCAAAGGTACTTGGACAGCCCATTGATTTGGCAAACCCAGTTTAACCATTCTTTTAGCCTGTCTGATAAGTGACTCAGAAACTCAAAGCTCTAGAATTTTATTTACCTGGATTGGTTGACGATCGTTTCAGTCTATCCGGGTCTGGCGCCGACAGGGTTGACAGAGGTTCCATTGTAAAGTACTCTAATCAGATTCAGCTGGATAGTAAGTTTTAATTGACACAGTCTATGCTTGCGGAACAGCAATGATATCAGGGATTATCAAAGCTAGAACGGTTTTCACACTTTACAGTCAGGGTCTAAATCGAATCGAATCTCATTACAGAATTTGTATGCTCTCTCTTAGTGTTGCCCGATGATGAAGTGCCTGTAACGTCCAGGATTCGGCCCCCACGTAATCTACCATGTTCCGACCACGAGAACGCGCCCTGATCTGATTGGACAATTGTCCAACGGAGACTAACAAGCTGGGCGGAAAGACACTCAATCGTCCCGCGTCGGCTAAGCCTCTTATGGCACTAGCGCAGTAGGCCACCGCCCCAATCTCGCAGCTCTAGAACGTCCTTCACTTGTAGGACCCAAAAAAAGTTGCGCCTCCCACACACTCACCCACACACTCACCCACCTCCGGAACCAAACCAGCAAGGAAGCTGCATGGCACTTTCCCCTGTGTGTGTCTGAGAAACTCGCCCATTTCCTGCATTCTTTGCAACAGAGACACGCGGCTGAAGGAACGTACCCCCCAGTTACGCAACGTACCTTAGCCCACTCGTCACACCCACGCCGCTCTCTCGCCGTCGCACCATGATGATCCCCAGCTTATTATCGTCGACTCCCGTCTGCGTCGCGGCGCAACCTCCCCTTCCTGCCATGTCGTCTTCCACGAGCCTCGCCGAGCTCGACCGCACTCCCCTCTTGCCACTCCCGATGCGCTGATCGAGAGCTCTCTCCGAATCAACAATGGTCGCCCTCCACTCCCGCCTGCGGACAATCCTCCCCCTAGCCGCGCTCTTCGCCCTGGTCATCGTCCTCGTCCGCTTCCACGCGAGCATCATCAACCTCGACTCCCTCTACGACCTCGCAAAACACACCAACACCGCGCCGCCTTCTTCAGAGGACAAGGATCACAAGCAGTCGCTCTCCTCCGAAACGCCAGTCTACAAGCCAGCGCCCACGTACACCTCGCCCCCGGTAATCGACCCTTTTCCCCTCCTCGCCAACACCGACTCGCCGCCCCCCTCGATCCCCGCGCACAATGTCCCACGCAAGGACCTACACAGAGACTACGGCCTCGATGCGCAGCCGCCGCTCTTCATCGGCTTCACCCGCCAATGGCCCATCCTCCTACAATGCGTCGTGAGCTACATCACAGCCGGCTGGCCCCCGTCGAGCATACACGTCCTCGAAAATACCGGCGTCCAGTTCGCCAACGCCCAGGGCAAGCTCTCCCTCCAGAACCAGTTCTACCTCAACCACACGACGCTGAAGCGGCTGGGCGTCAACATCATCCAGGCACCCGCGCTGCTCTCCTTCTCGCAGATGCAAAACATGTTCCTGCACGAGGCGCACAAGAACGACTGGCCATACTACTTTTACTCCCACCAAGACGTCCTCGTCTTCTCCTTTGAGGACGGCAAAGACGACACCCACCGGCCCGGCGATCGGAAATGGGAATTCTACGACGACGAGGAGCAGAACGAGGTCATGAACCCGTCCGCGGCGGGACAGCAGGGTTACCGCACAATCTACGAAAACTGCCTACGCGATCTCGACACCACGGTCAGGCGCAAGGAGAAGTGGGGTTTCAGGTGGTACCAGTACGACCACCTGACGCTGGTGAACCGCGCCGCGATGGACGCCATTGGCGGGTGGGACTCGCTGATCCCGTACTACGCGACCGACTGCGACATGAACGCGCGCCTGGCCATGGACGGCTGGACGATGAAGCATCGTCGGGCGGGCCTCATCAACGATATCTCGACACACCTCGAGGACCTTTCGGTTCTCTACAGGGTGCCGGGCGCGGTCCCAAAGTTTGTCGACCCGAATCCCTCGCCCCCGCCGCCGACCGAGAAGAAACCAGAGGCCGAGAAAAAGGGCGGCAGGCGAAACAAGGACCTCGCGACAAACACCACCGCCCTGGACGAGGCGGACTACTTCCGCTCCGTGGTCAAGACGGGCCTCGACATGACCAACTACAAGTACAGGGACAGCGACCACAACCGCAACTCGTGGCAAAAGAGCCAGCACGGAGGCGAAGGCGAGCCGTACTACTACGATGCCGCCGGGTTCGCAGAGGCCTTTGAGGTGCTGGTCGCCGCGGGGCGCAAGGTCTTTGAGCTGAAATGGGGTCGGGGCGGGTGCGATATCGCCGAGGGCTTCGGACTGAAGAGTACGGACCAGTGGCGCGTCCTGTCTCCAGAGAAGAAGACTGAATGAGTTGAGATTGCTCGCCAGTTGTTGCCGCGAGTCACGGCGCTGACGTCGTTCTTTGGGTATTAAGATGTCATCCACGAGTTTCATGAACCCGATCATGACTCGCTATATACGGGGAACTGATTCAATGTTCCATCGGGTTTGAGAATTCGGGCGCAGTCGCGTAAAGAGAACCAGAAGGGCATAATAGAGTTAGACGAAGCGCCCTTCACGTATCCTTTCAGCATGTAGAAAGATAAGCAAACAGTAGAAATTAGCATATAAATGATATCTTGATATTCAATGGTCGAAGCCATCTTATGTGGGTAATTGCTAGGCACAAAGGGTCCAATTTCTCATCTTGGAGATGGAAGTACCTGGCGTTGATGCCACGCGGAATGCTACTAAAGAAAAAACCAAAAGAGGTTGGAACAGATGAGAAAATCGTACACAGCGTGCTCTCAAAAATGCCATCCCTTTCCCAAGACGCCATACCCGTCTATCTAGGTATCCCAGGGTTCATTCAATCCTAAAATCAACACAATGGAGCGTCATCAGCTCGGTTCCAAACTGTTTTCCGGAGAAAACCATCTTTTTACTTTTTCGGCCAAAATGCTCTCTCTCTCTCTGTGTGTGTGTCTCTCTTTCTTTCTTTCTTTCTCTTTCTCACTCGCTCACTCGTATCATCAACACAAAGAAATAGTAGACAAAAGACATCTCTAAAGAGAAGTGCTCTTATGCCTCGGTAATGTTTCTCGCCAGAGCACCGCCAGCCTGGATCTCGTTCGGAGCGAACTTGATACCGCTAGCCGAGGCCGCAATCTGCGACTTGGGCGCGTACGCCGAGGTGGCGCTGCCGCTGCGAAGGACCTCGGCGCGGGTGACGCCGAATTGCTCGGGCGACAGGCCCATGGAGCGGAGGAAGTGAACCGTCTCGGTCCACTCCTGGTCCTTGCGGGCCGCGTCCCAGCCAAGCTCCTCGGTCATGACGTCGATTACGCGCGGGAGGGCGCGCAGTGCGGACTCGGCGTCGAGGAAGGCGAGGCGGGTGCGGCGAGAGATGAGGTCGGTGGCGGTGAGGGCCGCCTCGGCGCGGACGCCGTGACGGATCTCACCCTCGACAAAGGGGAAGTTGGGGATGATGCGGTCGCGGTCCTGGGGTTGGGCGACGACGGACCAGGCGCGGTCGCCGTAGTTGTGGGCCAGGTGGTGGGCTACGTCGCTGTCGAGGGAGAAGTGGGAGATGAGGTGGCCAGGGAGGTGCTTTGAGAAGCCGTGGGCGCCGACGAGGGGGATGTTCGTGGTGATGCAGGCGCCGGTTGTGGTGAGGGGGGCGAGGCCAGCACCGGAGATGTCGGGGAGGGAGACGGGTTGGGGCTTGAGGTTGAAGGTCTTGATGGCTTCGTCGACGGCGTCTTCGGCCATTTGGCGGTAGGTTGTCCACTTGCCGCCGGCGCAGGTGAGGAGGCCGGAGTCGGAGACGGTGACGAGGTGGGAGCGGACGAGGGATTCGGTGTTCTTGGCGTTGGGGTCCTTGACCAGGGGGCGGATTCCTAGTAGGAATGTCAGTTTTCTCATCGTGTGACATTGCGGAGAGAGGAAGAGGGAGAGAGACGCAAAAACTTACCGGACCAGGCAGAAAGGACATCGGCGCGGGACAGGGCAGACTCGGGGGTAATCAGCTTGTTGACCTCCTTGAGAATGAACTTGATGTCGTCCTCGCGAGCGATGGGCTCGCGCTCGACGGGTGCAGCGTTATCCGTGGTTCCAGCCAGAGTGTATCCTTGCCAGGGCAGAACAAAGATGACGCGACCGTCCGAGGTAGCAGCATCCAGAAGACCGATTCCATTGGGGCAGATGTCACCAGGCAGCATGATATGAGCACCAGAGGCCGGGGCGACAATGGGCTTGCGGTCCGGGTTGTCCATACATTCGATGGCGTCGGCAAAGGGGCCGGTGGCGTTGATGACGCCCTTGGCGCGGACGGTGAAGGGGGCGCTGCCGGGGGACTTGACGTCGCGGACTTGAGCGCCCGTGACCTTACCGGTTGTAGAGTTCTTTTCCAGGGAGGTGACTTCGACGTGGTTGAGGACGGTGGCGCCGTAGAAGGCGGCCGTGAGGGCGAGGGAGACGTTCATGCGGGAGTCGTTGTGCTGGCCGTCATAGTAGACGAGGGCGCCGACCATGTTGTCCTTTCTGAGCTTGGGGAAGGCCTCCATGGCCTTCTTGGTGGAGACGTAGTAGGAGCTCTCGAGCCCTTGGGAGCCGGCGAGGAGGTCGTAGGCCTTTGTGCCGGCCCAGAAGTAAGGGGTCTGCCACCACTTTTGGATGGGCAGGAGGATGGGCAAGGAAGAAGACAGGTGCGGGGCGACGTTGAGGAAGGTCTTGCGCTCGTGGAGGGCCTCCATGACGAGCTCGAGCTGGGAGTAGTCGAGGTTCCAGACGGCCTTTTCGAGGTAGCGGACGCCGCCGTGGACGAGCTTGGTGCTCTTGGAGGAGGTGCCGGCGGAGAAGTCGTCGCGCTCGACGAGAGCGACCTTGAGGCCACGGGTGACGGCGTCGAGGGCAATGCCGGTTCCCGTGGCGCCGCCGCCGATGACGAGGAGGTCATACTCTTGGGCGTCGGAGTTGTGGGCACGCAGGTCGGCCAGCTGGGAGGCGCGGTCCTTTGTGGCGGGGAACGAGGGCGGAATGATCTTGCCCTGGTCGTCGCGCTTGAGCTCGACGAGGGCCTGGTCGAAGTTGTGGGCGCCGCGGCCGCTGAGGAAGGTCGAGTAGGCGACGACACCACCGGTTGCCGCGGCGGCAGCGACGGCGATGGGCCTTCTCAGGCTCGAGAAACGAGACGCCATTCTGGCGGGTGTTGTCTCTCTTCTTCTTTTCTCGTTGCTCGGTGAGGTCTAGACCGAGTACGAAGAGGATGGGGTGACAGTCCCAGGGATTGTGAAGTGGGATGCCCTGTCTGTGGTTGATGTCCCTCGATATTGATGTGTACGAGATTGGGGGAGGGGTTCACCGGTTGATGATCTTGGAAAATCAAAAAGTGAAGGAGGGGAGAAGAAGTAATCTGAAGCAGGAAGGGAGAGGAAGCTCAAGGCTTAAGAGGGATCGAGAGTTGAGGATGTCGATCGGCAGATGGGCAGGTTGGTAGGTGGATTCCGGTGGTCGGTGGTAGGAAAGCAGGGAGCTGTCCGGGCTGGACCGCTTCAACCGCAACTTTGGGCTTTTATTCGTGGAATGACACACCGAGCTCGAGAGGGAATGGTCCTGTTTGGCACGAGCAAAAATCTTCCGTTGGGCGGGAACAGGGGAGGTAGGCAGCGGAGATGGGCGAACAACGGGTGAGCGAAAGTGAGAAAAAAAAAAATAATGAAAACCAGCAGAGGCTAAAAGTAGATCGGGGGAGGGGGTGGCGGAGATACCTGTGATGACGGAGATCGGGGGACGGACGGGGGCAGAGAGAGAGAGAGACATGCAGCTTTGGCCGGTAGCGATCGATGGACACGGACAAAGGACGCCAGTTCAGACGCCAGTTCAGAGCTCAGCATCGCTCGCATTGGAGCTTACCCCCACGTGGTCGCAGGCGCGTCTGCGGTATGGCCCCCCGACGCCCGACTCCCATCTTGAGATTTGATACCTTGGCTGACCACCCTGCATTCCCTATGGCCTGTGCTATGCCACCTCAGCATACACAGTATGCCATGAATTGCTACCTAAGGACTGTTTCCAGGTTCGCTGCTTTGCAAATTACCAACGGCATGATTGCTCACAACATGGTGGACGGGGGCGACCAAAGCTACCCGTGGTGCATGGCAAAGGTTTCCGGGAGCAGCAGAGCACTCGAGTCGGGGTCTGACATCATGGCACCGAGCTCACTCCGAGCTAGCAACTAGTCAGCAGAGGCAGAAAGTCAGGACATGTTGCTCAACTTGCTGTGGGTACCTACCTACCTTACTACGTACACAGTAGGTACAATGTAGAAGGGAGTCCCGCTTCTTGTTCGTCATGTCGATAACGGCGCAGGATCCAGTATGGAGAAATGAATGGGGAAAGGCACGCAAATCTGGAGGTGGGAAAGGGACGTCGGTGCCATCCCATCCGCATGGTGTTTCTGGGTCAGAGCCTCAAATGTGCCATCAAGGGTCCATCTGCACCTCGGTGTGTCGCGCCCGAGACGGCGACACGCTTTCGGCATGCTCTCGGTACTGCTGAGACGACCGCCCCTGTCTCGGTCCTCTCGGTTGGTATCACCGACAATTGAAGAAGAATTGGAGAAGGCGCCGCCCAGGCCCCACATAAAGAGTCTGAGAAGGTGGGGTCCGAGATTTGGAGTCAGTTCGCAATGATCGGCGGAATCCTCCGGCGGAAATCTGGAAGGACGGGAACGAGGGGCTCCTGCTGACTACGAGGTACGTACGTACCCAATCTGGCAAGGTCCCATTGGCTTCATTCCCGTTCCGTCCCATGCTTTTCCACTTTAGCCCCTGCCGCGAGCCAACCCAGCCCTGGCCCTCTTTTCCCGTCCTTCCACTTCTCCACCCTTTCCTTTCCTTTCCTTTTTTTTTTTTTTTCCTCACCCACCCAATTTGCTCCACTTAAGCTGGCAGATGGCGAGACTACGGGTTTACCTCTCGCTCGGCCTCGGTGTTGCATCCCCGTCACCACGTCTGTCGCAGCAGTACGAAGTCGAACAGTACCACAACCCAGCACAGCAACCCAATCACGCTCACTGCAGAATCAGCAGCTCACCTGCTGGATCTTGAGACACGCATTGCAGACGCCGCAGCAACAATCACCGCTGCCAAACGGCGACCAGCAATCGGCCCGGCGAATGGCCCGCGACGGATTTCTCCTCCTCGACTCCTCCCAACGTCTCCATTAGAGTCCATCGTGGGATGTTTGCCCACCCAGCGCCACGCCATACTGCCACTAACTACCCTTATCGCCCATAATTCTCACATGTCGGCCCTTTCATAGGGGCCTGATTACTCTGGGTCTCGCCTCACTTCTGAAGTTGAGGCCCG